CACACAAAAGCCAAGAAGGCACTGCACTAATTCAGGGGAAAAGATGAAAGTGGCTTGGGCCAGGGAGCTAAGCAGTGGCTTGAATGAGTAGCTGATTAATAAATCACTGACTTCCTAACTCCTTGCTGCATTTCTATCCCAATTTTGTCTGAAGACTCCTGAGTCTTTCCCGAGCGCGAGACTGGGCCTATGCTACTGCAGGCGCTCGCTGCCTAAGTGTGTCTGTGTGCGCCAGTGTCCTTGTCGTCCTCCCCTCCTCCTTCAGCATCTGCTCTGCATTAGTCTGTCCCAGGCCTCCGCAGGCGCCGATGATTAAATCATCATCATTAACCAGGGCCTGCCCCCCCCATCCCTGGCAGCAGGGGGAGAATGGGGGGGGGGGAAGCGCACTAAGTCCCTGGGGGTCTCTCCCTCCCCACCCTAGCCCCAAGCACCCTCTCGGAGACTCCGCAAAGCCCGGAGAAACTCCTGCGCGCACAGCCAGGAGGAAGCCCGCCATCTGTGTGAAGCTCCGCAAGGCGGACACGTCAGCCGCCCAGGGCAGCATTAGGAGAGCACCCAGGAGGGGATTCTTCGGTGGGGTCGTCGTCACAGGAGAGCGACGTTTCCAAGCAGTAGCGGGCTAGCGGGCAGCGATCACCGGGCCTATTGGGGTAGGAGGGGACAGTCTCAGTATCCAAAAGTTAGTCCTGAGGTTGGGTTGGATCTATTCAGATGACTACTACGGGAGGTCGTTGAGATAGAACCCTTCCCTACACTCCCCGCACTCCCTAATTGCCGAAGGAGGAGGGGAGGGGGAGGGGCCAGTGGGGCTCAGGTGAGCACACAGGGGAGAAAGGGACATGGGCGGGGCCTTACAGAGGGTGAGCGAATCCGAAAAGACCTAGACCCCCGTTGCTGGGAGACAAGTCCCGCCCCACAGGCGGCACCGGAAGTGGCAGGCCCGGATCAGCCTTTAAGATGGCGTCTCCTCAGGGGGGCCAGATTGCGATCGCGATGAGGCTCCGGAACCAGCTCCAGTCAGTGTACAAGATGGACCCGCTACGAAATGAGGTGCAGGGGCGGCAGGGTTACTGCTGTGGTCCGCTAGCGGTGCAAACTAGGGCGGGCTAAAGGTCGGGCGGTGGCTGGCCAGGCGCCCAGTGCGCTTGCGCAGAGAGAGGGTGCAAGATGCGCTTGCGCGATCGTGGTTAGGTTGCCAAACTGAGTTAGGACGCCTGCGCATTATACCTTCAACGGCGTATAGTCTCCCCTGGGAAAGGAGGGTCAAGCGAGTCCTTGTGAAGGGAGCCCCCGCTGTGAACGGAGCCCTCTGCTGGGTGGAGGAGAAGTGCCAGTCCCCGGGAGTTATCCCTTGCTGACAGTTGACGGTGCAGGACTTGATGGTGGTCTGATCCCAGCTTCCCCAAGCTGAGAAGAGACACAAGATGTGGGGGGAGTGGGGTAGGGATGAGCGATGGGTGATCGGTGACGGAAGGTGTGCCCGCAGGAGGAGGTCCGAGTGAAGATCAAAGACCTGAACGAGCACATTGTTTGCTGCCTGTGCGCAGGCTACTTCGTGGACGCCACAACCATCACAGAGTGTCTTCATACTTGTGAGTGCCCTGGAGCAAGCCTGGTTTTTCCAGGCCATTCCTCACCAAGCTGACTGCCAGCTTCTGTGCTTCTTGCCCAACCCATCCCATTAATCAGGTTTCCAGAGGGCCTGAGAGTCTATTCTTCTCTTCCTCTAGTCTGCAAGAGTTGTATTGTGAAGTACCTCCAAACCAGCAAGTACTGCCCCATGTGCAACATTAAGATCCATGAGACACAGCCGCTGCTCAACCTCAAACTGGATCGGGTCATGCAGGACATCGTGTACAAACTAGTGCCTGGTTTGCAAGACAGTGAGTGATCAGCTTGACTTTCAGGGGCCTCTTGAGGACTGATGCTGGGTTGCAGCTCTAAGAGACAGGGTTTTGGTGGAACTCTTGTGCATAAAGAGATCAACAGAGCCGGGCATGGTGGTGCACACTTGTAATCCCAGCACTAGAGAGGCTGAGGCAGGAGGATCACAGGGAGTTCAAGGCCAGCCTGGGCTGCATAGTGAGTTCAGGGTCAGCCTGAACTACAATGGGAGACCCTGCCTCAAATAAACAAAAAACAAAACAGATCAACAGTCAGAACAAAGAGGGAGAATTAATTGTTTACTCCTATACTTCACTCTCTCTTAGGTGAAGAAAAGCGGATTCGGGAATTCTACCAGTCCCGAGGCTTGGACAGGGTCACCCAGCCCAGTGGGGAAGGTATGTCCCTGGCAGGAGGGAGGGTAAAGCAAAGCTTCCAAAATATTCTTCCCACCTATTTTGCTCTCTGGGTAAAGAAGGTTATAGAACCTGTACCATCCTCCTTAGTACCCTGTTTTTCTCAGAGCCAGCCCTGAGCAACCTTGGCCTCCCCTTCAGCAGCTTCGACCACTCTAAAGCCCACTACTACCGCTATGATGAGCAGCTGAGCTTATGCCTGGAGCGGCTGAGGTGAGGGGCAGGTCAAGGGTTGTGTGAGGTGGCTGTGCCAATGACTCAGAGCCAGAATGGCCCTGGAGAAAAGTCAGGCAGTGCACCAGGTGTCCTTTCCTTTGAAGAATATACTATGGTTCTGGGTCGGGGAGAGAAGGAAAGATAGGGCCCTCTAACCTATTTCTTTTTCTCCCCAGTTCTGGCAAAGACAAGAATAAAAGTGTTTTGCAGGTGAGAGGGGGCTGAAAGGAAGGCCTCTTTAGCGGGACTCGCCTCCCTGTGGCCCTTCCCTCATCCACTGTGTCTTCTTCCCTCCCTTTTCTGCCCCTAGAACAAGTATGTCCGATGTTCTGTTAGAGCTGAGGTACGCCATCTGCGGAGGGTCCTGTGTCACCGCTTAATGCTAAATCCACAACATGTGAGTAATACCACAGTAGGTTTTTTTGAAGAAGGGGCTAAGGAAAGGAGGGACAGATTCTAGGGTGGATTGACTTAATTCTAGAAACAAGAGTAGAGTGCCTAAAACTGTCACCATGTTCCTCTTAGGTACAGCTCCTTTTTGACAATGAAGTTCTCCCTGATCACATGACAATGAAGCAGATATGGCTCTCCCGCTGGTTCGGCAAGGTAAGCAGGGATAAGGGTGGACTGAGGGGCCCTTCAAATAATGCTACCCACTGACTGTTGCTTCCTCTTTATTTCTCCGTAGCCATCCCCTTTGCTTTTACAATACAGTGTGAAAGAGAAGAGGAGGTAGGGGCCAAGCCCCCACTCCACCCCTCTCCCCTGTCCTCCCCAGATATTTATGTGAAATTAACTGTGGCTTTATTTTTTGAAATAAAAGCTTTTAAAAAGCATTCATCTTTTTCCTCCTGTCTACCACACACTCAGGCTTTTTCCTCTGTGCTCCTTTCCTCAAAAATCCTCTGAGCTTCATTGTCAAGAAAGGCCTCTCTTCCTCCTACTGACAAAGGCCCTCAATGTCTTGCCCAAGGAGAGGGGTAGAGGATCCTAAGAAAAACTCAGAAAGTGAGCTACCTGAAACCCCAGCGAACTATATGAGCTCTTTTTGGTGAAGGGCAGGCTTTCTGTAGGGCACCTCTCACTGTCCTTGTGTGCTGCAGCATTATGGTGCAGGCCTGCGTGGAAGTGTCATAATTCCATGTAGAGAGAGAAGGGCTAGGGTTGGACAATGGCCACTGCGGAACTGAAAAGGAAAAAGAGAAATCCAAAGAATTGCATCCTGGTTCCATAAGTGGAAGGACAGGGACAAAAGAAGGAGGAATCTAAAAAAGGAATGAGATGGGGGCAACAGAGATAAAATGGGAGCTGACGTCGAGAACAAGGGCAGCATCGAGTAACAAGAAGGAGGTGGCAACATGACAGCTCCATCGGTTGATTCAGCCAACATTCCTTTTAAGCCTAGCCATGCAGGCTGGGCTCACAATAAACCAGTGTTCTTGTTCTACTGCTGCTAAATGGAATAGCCAGAAACTTGCCAAACTGGGACAGCAACATCCAAAGCAAGGGTCTCCTGAGGGAAGCAAACTGGGTCAAGCAGAGTGGAGCAGGCAGCATAAAGGTCATGAGAATATGAGGGTAAATTCTAAATACCATGCTGGACAGAGTCTCACTCCAGGGCTTAGAAGTTGATAAGGGCTGAAGACACCAAGCTTCTGTGGATGGAGGCCGAATGGCAGAGGAGGTGGTAAAGGCCTGGGAATGGTTGCAGCGTGGGCCTCCTGAACTGAATAAGAAAGCCCAAACCATGAGAAAAACCAGAACTTGATTTTGGAGGTTTTTCAGCCTTTCTCAGCTTGACAGTCTCCCTGAGTTTCCTGGAAATTCCGCCGGGCCCGTGGATGAAGGTTGCAGCACCAAAAGGAAGGCAAGGGTGGAGAGGCCAAAGGGGCTGAAAAAGTGCTCCAGTGTGTGGAGCAGGCCACAGGGACCTCAGTACGTACACCCCAGAGCCATCGGCCTGGGTACAATTCTTTCCTGACGCGCTTCAAGATGCCCAAACCTTCCCCTGTGTCCAGGCCTCTTGTCCAGAATGCTCCCCCACTCTGAGGGGCCCTCTCACCTCCTCCAGGAAACCCTCTCTCCATCAGGAGTCATTGCTGCTTCTAAGGCCTTTAAACCTACCACAACACCAGGATGTACCTCAGGGTTTTGAATGAGTTATCTCTCTCAAGACTCACCACTCCTTTCCCTCCTAATTTAAATGAAGGCTCACTGCACCCCTGCTGTTTCTCCAGTAGTCAATGTGCAAACAGGCATTTCCTAGTAGGAGTTATGGGCCCTGGAGCCATGTGGGCCTGGGGAAAGGTAGCAGTGCTCCTAGGATCTTGGGGGTGCCGTGCAGCTTCAGGAGTTGGGGAGCAGTCTGGGTCTCCTCTGAGGGCTCTCCCTCCCATTAGGGCTTGCTGGCAGCTTTGTGACCCAAAGGGTGGGCCTAAAAGTGAGTGAGCCTGAGGCCAGGGATCTAAGCACTAAATCTCTGAACCAGACCTCTAAAGACACAGGCTTTGAAGCTGAAGGCACTCGGGCCTAGACCTGGTCCTAACACTTGGCACAGCTCTGTGCGGCAGCCTTTGTCTATCAGCACAGTGGGGTCGCTAATACCAGCTGCGGGCTCTGAGCAGCTCAGCCGCCCTGTGGGTCCATTTTCCCTTCCTGTTTTGACACTGGATCTCTAGGGTGTAAAACCTTGTGCACGTGCTCGGGTCCAGGGGTGGGGGTAGTGAATCACGCATACTGTTCTCTGGAGACCCAGAACACACCACCGACACCAGCGCCCTTTGAACTCAAGAGATTCATCCAGCCCACCCTAGAGCTTCCTTGGCCTCTAGGTGCTTCTGGGAGGAGGTGTCAGTCCTCACCAGGGCCAAATCCGCCCCTGCCTATCAAACCCGAGCTCATGCTCCGGAGCCCACTCTAAACTCAGGCATGAGGAGCCTGCCTTTGGCACAGAGGAAAACAGGTCGCTCTCAGCCTGGCCAGTCTTTCCCAGCGTTTGCGGGGAGAGAGGAGGGGGTGTTAAAAAGTGGGCCCAGGAGGGTTTGAGCCCGTGGTGCCCTCTGGAGCACAGTAGCAAACCGCAGGATGGCTGAGAGTCCAGGAAACTGAGAAGCAGCAAACAGGCCCAAAAAGAGATCACAGACTCGCCATCCCCAACGTAAGGAAGGAACCTAAAATTTAAGTGCCTGAATTGGGTCATTACACAATGACATTTGCTGGAGGGGAAAACAAATCCCGTAATCATGTATTAGATGGGCCGACACCCACCCCACGCTCCTGCCTGGATTGGATTTTCCTTTCAATTCCCACTTCCCTCTCACTCTGAGGATTTTCCCTAAGCGTGGGGAGAAGGAGCCCAAACACATCTATTAAACTGACCTTCTTGTCCACTGCCCAAGGGGGTTGTTCTGAGATTTCTCCAACTCCCCTGTAAACTGGGAATTCCGAGGAATTTGCGGGCAGGGGTGGGGGTGGGGTTCAGGGAAGACTAAAGGTCATTTATTGAGCAAACCTCAGTGCCAAAGTGGGGGAGGTGAGCTGGGTCTGGCCTGGGTGGAGGAACCTCGGGTGAGAGGGGTGGGTGCCTCAGAATGGGAAGTCTGAAAGGGGGTGATGAGGGGAGGTGTGAGAAGTATCCTTAAATGGGAAGTGGGGTGCCCTCCCACGGGGGTGAAGGTGGGAATGTGAGGATCTTTACAAGGAGAGACAGCACAAAACCCCAAAGTATCTGAAGGGACGATGAGGGGAATCCTTGGAGGTCGGAGACCAGAGACTGCCGGAGAATGACCAGAAGGAAAAGCATGGGATCCCCTGCAGGCTGCGGAGAAGGCTTGGAGTTGGGAATTGGTGTGGCTCACGGGCAGGGAGAGTTGGGTCTGGGGTGGGGGCTAAGGTCAAAAGAGGTGTGCAATGAGCTCCCAGAGCCTCCACCTTCCTGGCTGGAGGGGGTGGGATGGGGGGTGTCTATGAGACAGCTGAGAATCCCCTCAAACCCAGAACCAAGGTTTAATCTCTTAATCTCCCTCATTAATCACTCACCCTCCTCTTGCCCCTCTCCTCGGATCCAGTTTCGCCCCAGCTCGTGTTCCAGACGCTTCACTGGGAAAAGCCCCCTTCTGTGGCCCCAGGATAGCCTGGACTACTCTCTGGCCGCTGAGATGACCTTGGGTTGGCTTCTGCTGTACGGGGCATCTTCCTTTTTACTAGTCTCCGCTTCCCTCTCCTCCCCCAAACTCGTGTCTGGAGACCCTCCAACCCCATTACCTGAGCTGAGCTGCAGAGGGGAGAAGGTGGGCCTAGGACATGGAAGGGGAGGAAGTCAGAGGCCCATCAGGAGAGCCCCACACTCCTCACAGACACACAGGGGTAATTGAGAGCAGAGGTAGAGAGACAGGCATAAAAGCTATATAGTGGATGTATGAGTGCTGTTTACAGTATCTGTTTGGTGACATGCCTGGGATATAGTAGGGCAGTTCCTGCTGCCTCCTGGGATCTGCTTTAATTGCATATTAAGTGAAACCACAAGGATGGTGCTGAGGCCTGCAGCCAGAGCATCTCTCCCGCCCTCCCCTGCCCCCCACCATTAATAACCAATTAACAAGGTCCTGAAGCAGCTCAGCTTTCTACCATGGCCTGGCTCTGCTCCCTGACCCAGCAGTAGCCCATCAGGCTTCAAGTGTGTTGCCCAGGCCACCATGAAAGCACTACATGAAGGTCTGGGTATCTGGGGGTCTCACTGGAAGGACCCTTTTACCAAGAAGGCCCCCACTATCTAGATGCCTTCCCATCCATGTCAAGGAATCTGGCTTTCCTAAGCCCTGCTCGTGGTGCCCCAAGGAAGACACAGGTGAACACAGAAGGGCACGGCACAAGTGGTGGGAGATGCAGAGGTCTACAGGGCAGGTGACATAATGGAAGTTTGGGAGGGACTGGCCTGGTTCTTCATGGTGTGGTGGTGGGAGATAGAATATCATCAGTTCCCAGCCACCCTGGCAGCAAAGCAGCTTCTTGAGAATGGCAGGGATTCTCCATCCCTGGGCTGTGAACTCTCCAGCTACAGTATATGAGGTGGGCTAGAAGAAGAAAGCTGAATTCCTGTCAAGCCTCTACTCTAGGGTGGTAAGCCCAGGACCAGAATAAATGCAGGGGAGAAAGGAGACCACCCAGATAAAATAGGAATGAATAAAGTAGCCTCAGAGTTGGTGCCTGGGTTGGCAGGGGTCCCATATGATGACGGTTGGGTCCATGAAGTCTGTGCTTCAAGTCAGTCTTCCTGAGGAGTGACTCCACCCTGATCAGAATCCCTCCTCTGAGGCTGTTACTGAGCCTCTGCAGAGTGGAGAAACCATATCTAAACTTCAAGAGTTTCATAAAAAGACAGATCCACTGAGAGACCAATAGACTGAATAGGAACCCCTTTCTAGAGGCCAGCCTTGCTGGCCAAGAACCCTCTTGAGCATTAGTGCCATCTCCAGTGCAGCATGTTTCTCTCCGGAGACTCCGCTGTCCTTGTGTTTTGAGTTAATTGGAACCTCTAAGACACGGCAGGGCAGACTCGCAGACTCCCGTCTACTCATTTGCACTGGCTTCTTCGCGGTATTCCCACTATTGCTGTTGCTCTCCTGGGCCCGGTCCTCCGTGTCTCACCTCCCAGACCCCCACGCCACACTAATCACTTCCAGCCACCAGGATCTCTTTAAGAGCGTTTTATTACAGGAGTTGGTGCAGAACAGGGGGCCAGGTTAGGAGACTGAGGTCTACTTGAGATCAGGGATCCTAGCACAATCAGCCCTGGTCCTCCTCCTTGAAACTTTGCAAATCTCCAGCTGTTGGGGCCAGGAAAAGCAGTTTTATCGCCCAGGAGTTTATGAGCTGGAGGGGAGGAGCTCAAGGCAGGAGACTGCGGACGGCACACAGAATCCAGCAGAATGGGACCAGTTTCGGTGTGCACTTGGCTGTGCCCTGCAACACGGCCCTAGTCTGGCGGACGGTTCTGCGGTTTTCTCTCTGCGCCTCTCTACTCTGTAGAAATAAGGCTGCTGGGACGTCTATGGGCTCCAGACCCTCCGTGGCCCTAGGGGAAAGATAGGGGCACAGAAGGAGGGGCACACAGGACTCCAGCGCCGGGGGCGGGTCTGAGACAAGGGGGCCCGAATTGGGAGCCGAGCGGGGGGCCCAGGCAGCTTCGGAGTAAAGCGCAGCGGGCTGCGGGACCACAATATCCCATCCCGGTGGGCCATGAATTCGGGACGCCAGGCCCGGACACCCTTCAGCATCGCAGACATTCTAGGCCCGCGCACGGAGCCCCGAGCACCCTCTGCGCCACCGCTTCCAGAGCCCGGCCCGGGTCCCACGTCGCCCCTGGGCGCGCTGGAGGAGCTGACCAGTAAAACCTTCTGCGGACTGGATGGGTGCGGCCCCCCGCAACCCTCTGAAGGTACAGCGCCGGCGTAGACTCGAACTTGGCGGTCTCCTCACTTCTCTCTTTCTGCTTCTCGAGCTCAAACCTCCGTCTCACCCTGGGCAGGTCACCCTAATCCGCTCCTGCCCTTAGTCCACGCGTCGAGACTCGCACCTGTGGCTCCTCCCCTCCCCCCTGTAGTCTTCTAACTCCGGGGTCGCTCCAGGAGGCCGCCTGAACCGCGGGAAGCAGCCGAGGTGTCCGGAACTGTGAGACGGGAGGGTCGATTCGCTATAGGCGGGGCAATCGCGTCCGAGCAGGCAGTAGGAAACAAAAGGCCTCAGGCGGGGAAAGGGCAGTGCAGAAAAAGCTAGTAGGAGGAGAGGCTCTGTCTCTCCAGTTGACCAAGCTCCGTTCCAGGCCCTCACTCCTGGAGGGCGCGCTAGGAGCCGCAGGTCTTGGCGTGGCGTTGGGTACGCGATCCCGAACTCTGCCTTTCTTCGCACTCTCTGCTCTTTCCATTGCACTTTTGGGCTCGCTGTTGTACGCTGGGTGCCCTACATTCCTCAGGAGACTAAGGAGGCCCTTTTTCCTTCGCCAGGCTGAGTAGCAGTCCATACTCCGATCCACCTCTGGTGCCACCCCAAACCTGCTAGCCTGCTCAGCTCCAGGAGGCCAGACCTTGCACCAGCTCTCCTCTGGCTTGTTCCACCCCTCTTTTCTTCTACTCCCCTGCAACAACCCTCAGTGGCGGCTGGCACTTTGTGCTCGCTGGCCGCACCTCAGCTGACCTTGTGCGCTTCGCGCTTCGGTGAGGTACCACTCGGTGAGGTACCACGGCTCTGGTCCCCCTCTGCCTTCTTGGCTCTTTTTCTTTGGCCCCACGGGCCTGACCCCACCCCCAGCTTTTCCTCACAGGCCACAGACAGATTCCCTCCCTCGGGAGACTGACCCGATTCCCGCCCTATTCCTGCAGACAAGGCCGCCCCAGCCGTGCTGGGGCCTCCTTCCGCGGGCCGCAGACGGCGCAAGTCACGCACTGCGTTCAGCGCGCAGCAGGTGCTGGAGCTGGAGCGGCGATTCGTCTTCCAGAAGTACTTAGCACCATCAGAGCGCGACGGACTAGCTGCGCGACTCGGCCTGGCCAACGCGCAGGTTGTCACTTGGTTCCAGAACCGCCGTGCCAAGTTCAAGCGCGACGTGGAGGAGATGCGCGCTGATGTGGCCTCCCTACGCGCGTTGTCCCCTGGAGTTTTGTGCCGCCTAGCTCTGCCCAGTGGTGCTCAAAGCCCTGGCCGTCGCCCCACTGGGCCTGACTCCGGGACCCACCTGTCAGACGAAGAGATACAGGTGGACGATTGAAGGCAAAGCCACTGCCAGCCGTGGGCTCTGGGGCTGTGGACTCTTCGCCTCCCAGCTCTTCCTCTTGTCTGTGTTCTGGGGTGGAGGGAAGACCCGGGTCAGATCCGGCCTACACCTTTCCGACTTGTTGAGAGTAAAGTCTCAGCTTTGTTGCTAGACACCCCAATCCGGACCTCCAGGCCAATAACAGCAAAATATGCTGACTATTGGAGAGATCTGATGGCAGCGCTGTGAAGAGCGCTTGAGATACAGGATGTCTCCTTTAACTCTCATAGCAACCCTACAAGGTAGGTGAATAATTATGCCCATTTTACAAAAGAAGAACTCCTAGGTCAGGCTTTGATCCAGACAGCTAATCAACCCTCAGGGCAGTGTTTGTCATCCTTCTGCTCAAGAGACACTGGACAGAGGGAAAGGGGTCCAGGACTGTCTGTGGCTGCAGGCAATAAATAAACCCCTACTGGCTGCCTGTGGTCGCAGGACTCTGTCCTGCCTCTAATCAAACTGGCCTGGGAAGCCTCTAAGATGGGTGCAGAGCCCAGAGAGACAACATGGTGCTTGATTCTTCCCTCTTTCCCCACCCTGTGCTCATTTGTAGTGGGTTCCCCATGTGTTTCCCTGGCTGCATTAAGAGCCCTGTGCAGAGACAAAGTGAAAGGTGTCTGCAGAGAGGGCATCTTCTACCTCTGGACTTCTGTGTGGCTCCTGTGCTGCCAGTGGACCCACCAGGACCAGCTGGCAAGGGGCTGGAAAGCTGGCCCACCGAAGTGGAGTCCGGAGTAGCTGGGGATCCCAGCCGGGTTCCACAGCTGACATTTCTGACATTTATTTATTCTGCTGGAGATTAATCACCCTATTGCACGGTGAAGGGGGGGGGGGACACGATATAGCTACAAGACTTCCCCATCCCTGGCTGACCCAGCTGACTCAGCTGATCTTCAGAAGACCAGGCTTGGATTTTTTCCTGTTTCCCCTGTCTCCTCTCAGTCCTCTAGTCCCTCCTCAGACTGCCCCCTGCTTCTGCCCAGATGTGACAACTCCACTTCAAAAGATGCCCCAAGGGTGGGGGTGTCAACTAAGGCCCCAGTTTCGGGCATGGTAGCACAAGCCTGTAATCCTAGCACTTGGTAGGCTGAGACAGGAGGACTGCCCTGAATTTGAGGCCAGCATGGGCTACATAGTGACTTCAAGGCAGCCTGTCTCAAAAAACAAAACAAAACAAGGCTGGAAAGTAGGAGAGAACCTGGCATTTGGGGGCTATAACTGCCTTTGTTCCTACTGCTTTGCATGACTTAATCCTCACAATAACCCAATAGGCCCGAGATTTTTGTATTCTTATTTTCAGGATAAAGAAACTGAATCACAGGAGCCCAAGGAAGATTAGCCAGGCTATGCAGTTTGTAGTGGTGAGGTGAGGCTAATCTTCATGCTTGTCTGACTCAGCAACACATGCTTTTGGTCAGTACAGGTACTGTCCCTATAAAGGTGACTGGGGCTATTTTTTTTTTTTTTTTTTTTTTTTGAGGCAGGTGCCGGAACCACTGAGCTAAATCCCCGACCCTGACTGGGGCTATCTTAAAGAAGCAAAGGATTCACAGAAAGAAAAGAGGGAAAAGGGCCAAAGGTAGAAGTTAATACTTTGTACTGTAGACAGACCACGGGGGTGGATTATAAGGGAGGGACAAGAAAGCAACGTTTAGGGCAGGTTAATGTGGCCGAATGTGCAAGGTGGACTAGACCCTGGCAGAGACCTGAGGAAGGCAATGTGTAACCCTGGCCACCGTGGAAGGTAAGAGCCGAGAGAATTCAGGGCTAGACTTTGGGGTGGGTGGCTGGTCACTGAAGAGGTATGATTTCTTCCCAGTGACCAAGAATTGTATGAGTCAGTGAAAATCATACAATCCTGGACAACTGGAAGAAAAAATGACCTTATGGATAGAAATAGACAACGACCACTGATGTAGAGTTAAAAATCTGTCAGTCATTATATATAAAAACTATTATTTGCAATTGTGCTGCCCCTCTAACACACATACACAACCTACTTACCACCCCTGGCTCCTATTGCTCTCTTATCCCCTTTATCACCTCAAGATCAGCTTTCTGGAAACCTTCTAGGCAGTGACCAACTCTTCTGTGTTTTTTGTTTTGATTTGTTTTGTTTTGGAGACAGGGTCTCACTCTGTAGTTCAGATTGGCCTTGAACTCATAGTGATCTTCCTGCCTTAGCCTTCCGAGTGCTGGGATGACAGGTGTGCACCACCACACTTGCCCCAACTGTTCTGTTTTCCCAGCACTTTCCCAGTCATAGCGATGAAAGACCCACACCCCAGCAAAACCAAGATGGTTACTCACCTGCTTTCCATTCCAGAAGACTCCAAACACAGCCTGCCTGCTAGGTCAGAACCCTATCAATTTGGGAGTGGTGAGTGTCGGCAGAGTGAGGCAAGGCATTAGGGGTCCTGTGGCTCTTGGCTAGAAGATTCAAATCCAGGACAGGATAAGAGGTGCTGGGGAAGGAACACTTATCTGTTAATTAGAAGAGTGCTTGCTGGGTGTGGTGCCACACCTTTTGTAATATCAGCACTCTGGGAAGCTGAGGCAGGAGGATCACCAAGTTGGAGGAGCCCAGCCTGGGTGACAGGGACTTAGAGAGACGCTATCTAAAAAAAAAAAAAAAAAATTCTAGGTATGTAGCTTAGTGTGAAGGTCCTGGCCCCTGTATTTAAAAAAATTTTTTTTAGAAGAGAAGCCAGCTCATTGTAAAGGCTAACATGCCACACAGTACTGGTCAGTAACTATTCTTTGAGGGGCCAGAAGCTCTAGTAAACTAGTAAAGTTCCTGAAGTATCCAGATCCAGGACCTCCCCCAAAGGCCCTGTGGGCAGACCTCTTAAGGAGTCATTAATTACCCCTTTTAAATAAAAACAACCACCTCTCTTCCACCCCTAACCCAAACTGGGATGAACAAAGAAGTCCCAGGGCAAGTCCTTCTAGCTAGGAAATTAGGGTCCAGTCAAGCTAACTAGCTCTGAACCATAGCCCCCTCCCCTTGAGGTTTCCTAAACTTCAGCCCAGAGTGTGGCCACCTCCTGTACTCAAGCCTTATGCAATACTCAAACATGTCCCATCCTGGCAGAATGTCCTGTAGAAGGATGTCTGCTGCACTACGGCCCTAGAAGAGTGTCCATTCTGACCACCTGGAGAGCTTATTGAAATACACATTTCTGGGCCCCACCCTCTTGGTTTCCAGCTTTAGACCTGGCATAGGGCCTGAGGGTTTGCTTTTGTCACAAGTTTCTGGTTGATGCTGATGTTGCAGTTCAGAGACCAAACTTTGACACCCACAGCCCCAGGAACGTTAGATTTTCTGAATTTAAGCAGCAATTCATTCTTATTCTCCTCTTCCTACTGTAGGAATCACAAATATGTGAGACAGGGCCAGAGATTTAACTCAGTGGTTCCACCGCCTGCCTCGAAAGTGGAAGGTCCCAAGTTTGATCCCCAGTACCAAAAAACAAACAAAAAACCCCAAATATGTGAGACAGTTGCAGGCAAAATTTGGTTTATTTAGCACCCACTATGTACCAGGCACTTTGTAGGTATTTTATTACTCTTTTGATTCTCACAACAGCCCTGTGAGGTAGGGCCTTCCCCCATTTTACAGATGAGGAAACTGGGGCTTAAATGTTGAGCTGCCCAGATGACCCAACTAGTAATGGCAGACTTCATCTTGCTAGATACTATTTAAGGAACCTAAATCATAAACAATAGAAAAGATGGGGGAAAGTCCTATATAAAAGAGATATTTTGGGTCCGGGATTTAACTCAGTGGTTCCGTTGCCTGCCCTGCAAGCACAAGGACGTGAGTTCAATCCCTGGTACCAAAAAAAAAAAAAAAAAGAGAGATGTTTCAACACCTATCTTCAAGTGCAAACTTTATTGGGCAAGATTTATAGGGCAGAAGCATCATTTATCTTCATGAATGGTCCCTCTGGGGTGGGGTAGGGGCTACAAGTCCCATAAGGATTAAATGGGCTTAGACTCCCAGCCAGGGCCAGGGAGGACCCAACTAAGGAAAGCTGCCAGGATCTTAAACCAAAAGGAGATCATGAATCTCCCATAGAAGTGATTATAACACTTGGTGGTAAAACTCCTATGGGGAAAGACTAACTGTAGTGTCCAGTGCTGGGGTGAAGTAGCAGCAGCCTGGATACCATGCAGGGAATGTGATATGTGGGCCTGCAGCTCCAGGCAGGAGCTAGTGAGGGACTTCCCAAATGCAAACCCTTGAAGAATTTTCCAGCAATGGGAGGAGGTGGGTGTCAGACCACTGGACCAAGAGGTCTGAGTATGCACGGCAGTGTGGCTGGAAAATGGCATAAAGAGCTAGCAGAATACTGCGGGCTGTGGCTAGAGAAAACAGCAAGAACTGGGGTGAGGAAGAGGTGAACATTCACCAGGCTGCTGAAGAGTGGGACTGTTTTTACTCCTTGTGACCCCCTTCTTGAGCACAAAACTCCACCTGGTGAATAAGTTCCCTAGGGCCAAGAAGCACAGCAAGTCCCAGAGGCCTCCTTGCTGGCTCTGCTGTAGTCCAAAAACCTGAACTGCTGCATAATGCAGTTTCCCCCAACCATCCCCCACCCCTTTTTGGCAATACTAGGGATGGAACCCAGGGCCTTTGTGCTGAGCTGCATCTCCAGCACTTTTTTTTGAGAGTGTCTTGCTAAGTCACCAAGCTGCCCAGGCTGGGCTTGGACTTGTGATCCTCTTGCCTTAGTCTTCCAGAGTGCTGGGATCACAGGTGTGCACCCTTGCACCCAGGTACAGTTCCCCATCTTGAGCTCTGGTGGAGTTTGTTTCCTTACCACCCCCAGAAGAAGCCATCTGCTTGAGAACCAAAGAAAGGATGTTTCAGTGGATGTGGGGCTCCTTTCTCTCATGAGAAGATTCTCCATGCAAAAGGAATGACTGCCAGGGGTACCTTTAATACGGACTTTTAGTGTTTGCTTTTTCGTTTTTTGAGACAGGGTCTCACTCTGTAATTCAGGCTAGCCTTGAACTCACTATGTGGCCCAGGCTGGCCTCCAACTTGCATTTATGGCAATCCTCCTGCCTCAGCTTCCCAAGTGCTGGGATTACAGGCATATGCCAACATGTCCAGCTCAATGTGGATTTAGGGTACAGGGTCTCAAAATATGGAGAAAAATATCAGCACACAGTGTTCACTATACTTGTGGGATGTATATGGTTTCACTTTATGAGAGAAAGAGGCTTCTGGGGCTGGGGATTTAGCCCAGTGGCAATGCGCCTCCCTTGCAAGTGCAAGATCCTGAGTTCGATCCCTGGTACTGGAAAAAAAAAGAACCTCCTTTATCTGGGCTGAGGCAGATGCTGGCATCCAAAACAAGGAGTCCCCCAGCTCTTTGAGGAATCCTGGAGATAAACAGGGTGGGGTCTTCTAATCTGAGTCTGAGAAAAAGACAAGGTGGGGTAGCTCAGGTGATATGTGGGAGAATACATGGGCGGAGACAAAAGGCCCGGGGCCCTGGAAGCCATGCTCTGACTGAAGGAGAACAGGTCTGAGTCTCCTGGTTTAAAATGGGGAAGTGACTCGAGGACACCAGTAGATCGAGGTGGCACATGGATTCTTCCTCGTTGATCCTGCTAAAAAGGGAAGAGAGAAGGGCACGTGAGCCCACCATTCCTGCACCCTCCTTATCCACTGGAGGCAGTGATTCGGTACTACATGTCTCACAGTCCCAGGTGGTGCTCCCTGATGGCCCTAGCCTGAGGGCGGGCCAGTTTCCTTACCAGAGCAAGTTGGAGAAGCCAAGAGTGGAGTTCCCAGGCTGCGCTGGGCTGGTACCCACCCCTCAGAGTCTCCTGGAACACAGCAGCTGCCTCTCCAAAGCGCTTTGGCCCCAGAGGGATTGGAAAGGGAAAGTTTAGGTGTCAGGGGAGCCAAGGAACTATAAATTGACCCTTTTCCCAAACCGGCCCCACCTTCTAGTACTGCTACCATCAAGATGCTATGGTAGTGGGAGCTTATCTAGGAAATGTCAATGTAGACCCCATTCCCACTGCCCTGTCCCCCACCCCCTACCTCTCCTCTGCTTCCAGTCCCAGTCCTATTACCTGCAGCCCCATCAAGGCCTTGCCCAGGTGGAAGAGGCCCCGGGGCCAGCCGGGTTGTAGGGTAAGGGCCACCTGGGCATCAACCAGGGCCCATGCTGGCTGACCCAACTGCTCATGGCAGAAGGAGCGATTTCCAAATAACCTGATAAACACAGAAAGTGGCCAAAGGTCTGGATCTTCCACACTGTGCCTTGGCCTGATCTCCCAGCACATGTCCCAACCTACCTGTGGTCCTGGGGGTTGAGCTGTAAGGCCTGAGTGAAAAGAACAACAGCCTCATGGTAGAAACCATTTTGAGCAAAGCTGGTACCCAACTCTGGAAAAAAGAGAGGGTGGGAAGGTTCCAATGGGGCTCCTGCAGAGAGGAGGGTGAAGAGAGAAAGAAAGGATCTCACTTGCCAGTTCCTGGCTCTGATGTATGGAAGCTGCCAGCAGTCCTGGAGATGCCTGGGGCTGGGGAGGAGAGTCAAGCAGGCCTGGAGGCCTCCGTCTTCCCAAATCTTTCTCCTTTGTTCAGTTACACTGCAGTCAGTACCACCCAACTAATATATGCAATTCTCCCAACAACCCTGCAAGAAAGTACCTTCCTACAGAGAAAACTACTCAGGGTCAGGGTGACAGTGATGAAGCCAGACCCCAGGTCTCTTGGTGCTAAGTGGAGGGAACTCCTAATGGACAGCCTCTGACCATCTCAACTGTGCCTTAGGACTCTGCCTAGGGCTCTCCTCTCTTGAGGGATTCCTTTCTTTTTGGACCATCTTCTCCTGGGGGCCCTGGTCCTTGACTTGGTTGGGGCTTTTGGCTTGGTCTCTTCTCTCTGTGGGTACTTAGGAGCCAATCCCCAACCTTGCGTAAAGCCAGACACAAAACTGCTAGATAGATCCAGTAAGTCCTGTGGGCAGAAGGAAAGTCGGGTACAGACGGACAAATAAGGCATGTTCTTATCTATACATGGAAGCTAAAAAGTGGATTTCATAGAAGTAGAGAACAGAATAGTGGTTACCAGAACCTGGGAAGGATTTAGGGGAGGGAGAATGGAAAGAAGAGGGTTCATAGGTACAGGGCTAGAAATAACTTTTTCCTTTTTTTTTTTTTGAGACAGGGTCTTGCTGTATAGTTTAGGCTGGCCTTGAACTGACTGTGTAGCCCAGGCTGGTCTCAAACTCACAGCAATCAGGTAGGAGAAATAACTCCTAAAGTTTTATAAAACAGTAGAATAACTAATTGAATATTTCCAAACAGCTAGAAGAGATTTTCAATGATCTCACACAAAGAAAAATGATAAATCTCTAAGGTGATGGCTATGCCAATGACTGTGATCTGATCATTACACATTGTATACATGTATTAAAATGTCACACTGTACCCACAATTACGTACAATTACTATGTGTACAATTAAAAGTAACAATATATTTTAAAATACATTTAAAAAATTTCTCCAGGAAAGTTACAGAGGGCCTGGGAATGAATTATAGTTTGAAGTAGGAGGAAGAGAAGATGGGGAGAGACAAAGAAGGGAAGGAAGGGGCTCTCACCTCTTCCTCACCACACAGTCCCCGAGCTGGGTTTTCAGGGCTGGCTGGGGGGCTGTCATCCTCATCTGGGGTAACTGTGGTCTGGATGGAAGGTAGACAGAGCTGGGATCACCTTGAGCCACCTCCCTTCTCAGCCCCCATCTTCTTGCTCCTTGCTGCTCTTGATATCTGCCTGTTGAGCTCACCTTGGGCTCCCCACTGTCCTGTTCCGAGCGCTCCTGTCGCTTTCTTTCCTTTTGACGCTGCAATAATAATAATGATGATAATTTATTTTGAGCACTTACAATATGGCATGCATTGGACTACATACACTACTTGGATACACTATTTCATTTATCCCTGGGACTCTATGAAGAATGTATTTTTATCACTCTGAAAAAGCAGACAAGAGAGTCACCAGCCAGAGGCCTCATAGCAGGGAGACAGCTTCCAACCAGGGCAGTACAGTGGGATTCTAGAGCCACCACACTGATGGCTTCCAGGAGAACCTGCAGTCCCGGACCCATACAGCCTACCTGGCAAGGGGTCCACTGCAGGTTGCCTTGAGCTCCCTCCTGTTCTCACACTCTTCCCTCTTTCCCTTCTCTAAGTCACTCTGGGCTCTCCTCCTTCCACCCCCAACCACATTCTTCTTTCGTTGTTTCGTCTCTGCTTTCTGTTTCATGTGTTCCTCCTCAGCCACCAGCTCTGCAGCCAGGCGGTTGGCTTCCTGGAGAAGGAAGGGCAGGTGACAGGAAAAGAGAAGGAAACAGGAAGAATGAGAATACAAAGGGAGGTAAATAGTACAGAAGGATCTGTACAGATGAGGGGAGGTACAGGGTGGGAATACAGGGATCATGAAGCCTCTTCCTGAGAATCTCACCTCTTTGGTTACCAGGAGCTTCTGGGGCATGGCCACCTGCAGCAGGCTGTCTGAGACACTAGAGAAGGATGGGGAGGCAGAGGGACTTTGAGGGCAGGGCTCAGACTCTTGGGGAGGGTAAAGGAAGGACTTTCGAAGACCACAGTAGTTGCCCAGTCCCTTGGTCCCCTTGCCCCTGTCACTCTGTCCAGTTGTGTTTCCTTCATTAGGGAAACAGTCCAGGAGGTAATCTGTCAGGAAGAAGAGACAGGAAAGGAAGAAGAGCATGAACAAGGGGAGTACCTGAGGGTGAGCCTACCCCAGGGTTCCAGCCCCGATCCAGGGTCCAGGCCCTGCACTCCCCACCATGGTGCCACAGCTGCAGCTGCCTGCTGCTCCCATCCACGTGGATCCAGTGCAGGCCCTGGGACTCACCCTCCATTGGCTGGTGAAGAAAATCCACTACATTCTGGGAGGGGGAGGGGAGGGGAGGCTGGTGTTGGGAGGGAAGCTCTGGGAGAGAGCAAGGGGTTGCCTGGCTTGACTTCTCCACCATGGCAGCCACAAAGCAGCCACCCAGCCCAGAGAATCCTTCTGGCTCTGACCCCCCCCCTTAAAATCTGCTGTTCTTGGCTTTCTTGATGCATTGCCTCCTTTTGCTACTCTCCCACATTCCCTAAGGGCTGAGGGTGGCATTCAGCCCAGCCTTCAGCACCTTCCAGGATCTTCTCTCTCAGACCTGTCACTAGGTCAGCTGCACAGAGGCTCCTGGAATGGAGCCCTCTTACCTGCTCTTCCAGCTGTGCCCTGTCATATCCTTGAACATGAATAGCCCCTATGCAGAAATAAGTACAGCAGCTCCCAGCGGCCTCTTCTCTGCATTGTTTCTCCCCAAAACCAAGCCCTCAAAAACTACCCCTTACTAAAAAACTTCCAATGTCCTTCACTGCCAAGGTCATAAGCACAGTGAATCTAGCACCTCTGCCTAGGATTCAGAGCTTTCCAAAAAGCTCCCTGGTGACCTTTCCAACCTTCCCTCGTAATCCTCCTGTTTAGCTGCCATCCTCCTTTGGCCACCAGGCTCTCTCTAGCCTTGGGGCTGCCTCCCAGCTGTCCTCCAATCCTTCCTGGCTCAGAGTGCCTTTCTCATATTTTGTCTCACCTTGAAAGTCCAATTCATATTCTATTTCCTCTTAAAGCCTTCTCAGATGTTTTCATCTCCAATTAGCTCTGGCCTCTCTCAACCAAAATGTGCCCACAAAGTCTATGTTATACAATTTAGAGCCTTATTATTCATTGCTTTTATTGCTCTCTTAATTGGTGCAAAGAATGGAACTGGAAAGAGTGCTATGCTAGAGTGGAGCCATTTGCATCCTAGTTTTGACTCTATTCCTGCCTGAATGTTTCATTTTGGAGAAGTCATTGACAAAATGAGGTAAGACTCTTCAAGGTTGGACCCATATACTCTATTTTATTTTTTGGGTAAGGGCTGGGGATAGAACCCAGAGTCCTATTTGGTCTACAACTGAACTACACACCATGCAACCAACACTGACTCGGATGTCATTTCCTCAGTGAGCGTAAGCTTCCGAGGACAGGAATCATCATATCCCTATGTGGCCTATGGTCACACATAATCTGGCCCCCCAATAGCTGCATGAATCTTCTCCTACTCTCTCATCACCTTCCTTCAGCCACCATGGTATCCTTTGAAGTTCCTACAACATACCAACTGTGCTTCCATTTCAGTGCTTTTGCACTTGTTATTTCCTGCCTGGGATCCTCTTTGTCCAGTGAATGGCTTACTCCATTATCTTCTTTAGATTTCTGCTTAGATGTCACCTTCTCCTGTTCTTTTTTTTTAAATCTTCCAACTCTACTCAGTGTTCTGTTCGCCTCCTTGCTCTTTCTTTGAACATATATGCTATGTTCTTTATTTATTGACTGGCTGCTTCCACTAGATCCTTCAAATTCATTGAACAAAAAGACTTTTATCTCTTGGTTCACTGTTGGTCTCCTATAAGTGTCTGGTATATAACTGGTGCTCAGTGAGTGTGTGCTGAGTAAACAGAGAGATTAGTGGGGAGGCTGTTACAATAGAGAAAAAGGAAGGAACTATGCCTGTAGAGCCTTGTGTTACCCACTGAGTTTGGGCTTTTTTTTTTGGTACCGAGGATCGAACTTGGGACCTTCCACTTGTGAGGCAGGCACCACTGAGCTAAATCCTCGGCCTCTGTGCTTTATCAATGATGGAAGAAAACTTGATCAGAACAGTGAACTGCTCATAGGAAATAGTGATAGGGAAGGTGATGGAACTAGGGGGTGGAAAGTTTAGTTAACAAGACATTACTCAACTCAGGCCAAAGAGAATGTGGCCTTGAACTCAGCCTTTGAACTAAGGCTGTGGCAGTACTGGGAATAGGAATGTAAATGAAGGGTTTGTGGTTTGGGGGGGGGGGTTGGGGGGTTTTTTTGGTACCAGGGATTGAACTTGGGTCCTTGCATTTGCACAGCAGGCGGCCAAACCACTGAGCTAAATCCCCGGCCCAGAAGGGTTTGTTTTAAGAGACATTTCTGAAGTAGATTTTAGTGACTGGCTAAATATGTGAAGTAAAGGAAAAGGAGAATTACAAAAGCAATCAGTTGCAAAGATGATGAACTAACTTTTGGACTTGAATTTGAGATACTAGAGATCCAAACCCTTGTGCTAAACGAGGTCTTTCCAGCCATCACCTGCCTTCTCTCTGGTTCCATCTTTCACTGTTTCAACCAAACTCTTTCTACTATGATCTTACTTTAGTGAGGTTCTTTTTTATTTTTCCTAGTGGTCCCATTGTCCTCTCTCCTGGAGACACGTGTACCCATCCACAGTCCTCAACCCAGACACACCTGTCTGATCAATTTTGTTCACTTTGACCATTTATTACAGGAAGATCACACTTCTGGTCCCTCATCCCTCACCTGTCTAGCAGGTTGTAAAGCTACTCTTCCCCACAGGCCCCAGAACCCTGTTTGGTGCCAACTCAGCGAAGAGTCTCAGGACAGCTGATTAAAAGAAGCCATGAACGAAATGACTAGGCAAGTAAGCTCAGGTCTCTTTTACCTCTTCTCCGTAGACCTCTGGACCAAATTCCTTGCCGAGTTTAGGGACAGCAGCGACCCTCAGCGGGCAACCAGGCCGCAGAGGGCAGTCTACAGGAAAGGAAGGTGGTGCTGCATCAGGGGGCTCAAGATGGATGGGCAAGAGCCCTCCAGCCTCCGCTTGAAAATGTCCAGACAGACTCAAGAGGGCTGTTTCTGCCCTCCTAGGCCCCCTCCGTCTATCACAGAGCTCACCTAGCTTGATTCGCTCCACAGTCTTCAGAACCGGCGCCATCTCCAGTCAGTAGTAACCCGAAAGTGAAAGTTAGTCTAGAATTTGATCCCAGCAAAAGGGCGCGGCGGGATAGAGTGTGCAGCCATCTTTGTTAGGGGCAGATGCCGTCGATTACGGAGCGCGAGAGAGTCCGTGACAGTCTCAGCGGTTCCTGCGTTAGAGACTGCTCTTGGTAAGGGGCGGAGTCCGAGCTACGGCGGGCGTTGGGAGGTACGAGGAAGCCGGAATTGTTAGGTTCGTTTTCAGCCCGCCTCTCCATGGCCCAGGCATCCCGCTCTGGTGGCCTTCTGCCCCCTCTGTGGGCGCAACCCGGGGGCGCTGGGGAGGGGCAATGGGAGGGAAGGCGGGCGGGCGCTCTCCGCGGGGAGGGTCGTGGCCTACAGGGGCAACCGATTGCCGGGAGCATCCCCTGCCCGGACCTCCGGCCCGGCGGAGCTCCGAGAGGACCACCGTGGTGGCCCGCGTTGGCACACGCGGGCGAAGACAACGAGGCTGGCCCGGCGAGTTGGAAGCGGGAGCCTGCAGCAGGCACCCCGATCCCTCCAGCGCTGCAGCGTCTCCGTCGGGTGATGCTGCGGCTGCTCCGCGAGCGGGAGCAGCTTCTTCAGGCCAGGGACTGCGCCCGCCACCTACAGGCGGTCGTGCGCCTCCTGAAGACCCTGAGCCCCAGCACGTCCACCCACGGTCCTGGCCCCTTGTCCCAGCTGTGCCGCGACCTGCAGCTGCACCCTTCCCGAGAGGCGGTTGTGCGAATCCGCCAGCGGGACTCTCTCGAACCGCTACTTCTAGCGCGGCCCATCGGACTAGCGGCCCAACGTCTGGATGCTGCCATCAAGATGCAGCTTCGAGCTCTGGGTCGGGCTCCCGCCACTCTGACTCTGACATCCCAACTCGCCGAGCTGCTGCTGCTGCTTCCTGTCTACCACAGGCTGCAGGGAAAAGCCATGAGCCAAATTCCAGGAGCAGCGCGCCCTTTCCCCTCGGCCAGTGTGCTTTGTCTTCTAACCGAGGAGCGAGGTTGCCAGATGGCAAGTCGGCTAGATGAGGCACTCAGGGGACTGTGCTTGCGGGACCAGCTCCGCAGGCACTGCCAGGAGGAGCGGGAGCTGCTACCAGGGTTACTGGTTATAGTAGGGGGCGTGACCGGTTCAGTCAGCAGTGGGCTGGGGCTTGGAGGAGCTGGAGCCCTTTGGAACCAATATTGGACGCTTCTTTGGGCAGCCTGCGCACAGAGTCTGGACCTAAATCTAGGACCCTGGAGGGAACACAGGGCAGTGGCACAACAGCTGAGTGAGGCACTGGTTCAGGGTGAGTGACTGGGCCTAGGTGGGCATTGGGGAGGGCCACGGTCGCTCGCTTCTCCCTAGTCTCCTCACTCACTTGCCAGCCTGATGACAGAAGCAGTCTGTTTAGAATGAACATTCCCTGGGTTCAGACTATATAGCTTCTGGCCTTTTAAGGGCAAGTCTTGCTTTCTGCCCATCTTGAGTTGTGGAGGAACAATCTTTGAATGTGCAGGGGCTGTGGAAAGGGAAACCTTGTTCTCAGTTTCCAGAGTCATTTCTCCTTCTAGCATCCCTGCCTCAGGAGTGTGTGAAGGAGCTGGCTTCTTTGTGCCACAACCTACTTCATCAGTCTCATATCTGGAGCTGGGATCAAGGTGAGAAGAAAAATATTGGGGTGAGGCAAGACCCAGGTTGCCGCTTCTGTATCAGACTGTACCCTCTCATCTTCAGGTTTCTGCCAGGCCTTGGCATCTGCAGCCCTTGGGGATCAGAGCAGCCCTGCCTCGACCTCTCATACTGCTGAACTGTTGCGACAGCTTTTTCCTCCACTCTTAGACACCATCCAAGAATGTAGGTCAGGATTGATCCTCTGTCAGCCTCCAGGTGAGGCTTGTTCCTTCACTCCGCTCTGAAGTTTCCCTCCTCCCAAAGGCGCTCCATGAAGTGTAAGATACTCTGCTACTCTGCTTCCAGGCCCAGCACCTATTGCCCTAGGGCTCTGTACTCTGCAGATCACCTTGCTCTGGTTCTTGGGCAGAACTCAGCAACACCTGGCAGCATGGGCCCCAGATTCCTTCCTGCTCCTGATCCAAAATCACTTACCTGTGAGTGGCGGGGGGGGGGGGGAGGCGCAGTTAGGCTGGGCTAAGATCTCACTTCCTGTTTCCACCCATAGCCTCTATTGCATGAGGCAGAAGCTTTATCCAGATTGACTTCAGAGGAAAGCTTAACTCTGGCAGTGGAGCAGCAGCTAGGCCTGGAGATCCAGAAGCTGACTGCACAGATGCAGGTGAGAACAGGGAGGGGTCCTCATAGTAGCAGTTTAAGACCCTGTTCTATGCCAACCTAAAGGGGTGGGCAGAGTGAAACATCTCAGTGACTTGTAATCCTTGAGTCATCACTAGATTTATTTTTTCTTCCCTTGTTAAGTTTTCATTCTTTGTGTGTGTGTGTGTGTGTGTGTGTGTGTGTGTGTGTGTGTCTTGCTGGGGATTGAACCTGGGGCCTCACACACACTAGGCAAGCACTGTACCACCAAGCTATATCTCCAGCCTAACTTTTTTTTTTTTGGTACCGGGGATCAAACTCAGGACCTTGTGCTTTCAAGGTAGGCGCGGTGCCACTGAGCTAAATCCTCGGCCCTCTATCTTCTTACTGTAGGAAATTTTAAACATGTACAGATGAAAAGGGAAGGGTATAATGGACCCCCATATTCCCACCACCAAGGCTTTAAATATTATCAATTCATGGTCAATTTTTTTTTTTTTGGTACTGGGGATCGAAGTCGGGTCCTTGTGCTTTTGAGGCAGGTGGCAGAACCACTGAGCTAAATTCCCGGCCCTCAGTTTTGTTTTATTTATATACCTTCCCCCTAATAATGTTGGACTCTCATTTGGTGATATTAATAGCTGCTGACAATCATTGCCTAGACTCATTCTTTCATTAGAGATGGCAAAGGGGTGATATTTCAATTCTATCATTCCTTTTTCATTTATTGGTTGGGTAACTCCTATAAAGAGAAATCTACCCTCATTAGTGATTTGAATATCCTAAGGTAAATTTTTTTTTGTTTTTTGGAGACAGGGTCTTACTATGTAGTTCAGTCTGGCCTCAAACTCACTATGTAGCTGAGGCTGGCCTCAAACTCACAGCAATCTTCCTGCCTCAGACTGCCAAGTGCTGGGATTACTGGCATGCAGGCATGCTTCACCACACCCTGCTCCTGAGGTAAATTTTATAAAGAAAAATCAGGATGATTATCTCTTTCCTTTTTCTTACCAGTGTTCAATACAATGTTTCTTTCTTTAAAAAGTGTTTCTTTTTAAAAGTACAACATGTGTTCTTATTAAAGTAATACATACCCATAGTTTAAAAAGAGAAATAGGTCCCTAAAGTGGCTCACATCTGTAATCCCAGCATTTGGGACACTGACACAGGAGGATGAGATCCCATCTCAAAATTTAAAAAATCAAAAAAGGCTAGGGGTGTAGTTCAGTGTTAAAGTGCTTGCCTATTATGCACAAGACCCTGGATTCAATCCCTAGCACCCTCCCCCCCACACACATTAAAAGTGAAATATGTAGAACAGTGTTTCGTTTTTTCTTTTGGTATTGGGGATTAAACCCAGAGTCTTCACAGTAAGCTACATCCCCAGCCCTTTTTTATTTTGATGCAGAGTCTTGAAAAATTGCCCAGGCAAGCTCAAACTTTTGCTCCTCTGGCTCAGCCTCCTGTACCACAACACTCAGCTCCTAGATTAGTATAAACCGTCTAATAAAATAGCACTTTATTTGCCCCCAGTCCCACTTTGGATTCCTGTTTTAGAGTGGTAAGCTTTGCCATACTTGGCTGTTTCTTCTAAAATCTCTTATATTTATGAATAAAGCTATACTTCCATTTTAATTTTGCCCCATTTTGCACATTATCTATTCCTACTATGGAAGATGTTTTTCTCTTCCTGCCCAGTTTTCTTGTTTACTCCTTTTTGCCCTGAGTAGGGACATGGCTAGAGTTCATGTTAACCTTCTGCCCCTTTCCTCTACATTTGTTCTTACCCATAGTGTGGGATTTTTTTTGTTTTGTTTTTTTGTTTTGGGGGGAGGTTTTGGTACTGGGGATTGAATTCAGGACCTTGTGCTTGTGAGGCAGGCGCTGGAACCACTGAGCTAAATCCCCAGCCCTTGTTTTGTTTTTTGAGACAAAGTCTTGTTATATAGTCTGGGCTGTTCTTGAACTCACTGTGTAGCCCAGGCTGGCCTCAAATTCACAGATCCTCCTGCCTCAGACTCCCGAGTGCTGGGAATATAGGCATGCACCACCTTGCCTGGCAACCTATAGTGTCTTGATGCTGTGAACTCCCATATTTTAGTTTTTCTGGTTCCCAGAGTTCTAATCCAGCATCTTCATTTGCCTCTTGGGCATTTCTACCTCAACTACTGCTTTCTCCTTAAACTCAACATGTCCAAGAGCAAGCTCAGGCTGGGGATTTAGCTCAGTGGTTCCAGCGCCTGCCTCACAAGCACAAGGTCCTGAGTTTGATCCCCGGTACAAAAAAAAAAAAAAAACAAGAGCAAGCTCACCATCAGTAGAGCAGTAATGAACTATGCTATGGATAGAAGGTTCCAAGACCTGTGGCTATGGCTTGAGTTGGTGGGTAGGCGCTTCAGAGGCATACCAGGGATTACTGGAGGTGAGCAGTTCAGAGATCCTTGGAAGAGTAGAAGAGAGATGGGCTGACCAGAGTAGAGACCTGGTGTGTGTTGGGGAAGAGGATGTGGGGGTTGGAGTAAGCAATTTATTTATTTATTTGTTTGGTACTGGGGATCGAACTCAGGCCTTTGTGCTTTCGAGGCAGGCTGCAGCACCACTGAGTTAAATTCCCGGCCCTGGAGTCAGAAATTTAGCATCAAACTGTGGAGGGCACTGAACTCCATCCCAGAGAATGTGGGCTTTGTTTCACAAGTGATGAGGAGCTACTGTCATAACAGAAGGGGCACAGTGAAGACGGTGATAAACATTTGATTTAGCTATAGAGGCATTTTAGAGGGGAAAGGGGGAGACATGGGATGAGAAGTGTTCAGCTCTTGGTAGCTGAGAACAGAGCAAAAGGGATAGGGACAGTGGGCTCACATGTGGACCAAACACTGCAAAGCACTCCACATGCCTTGCTCCTCTGCCTGGTGATTGTACTTTTGGGTGTCTGTTCTAGCACATACAACCCTGGGATGAGAAAGAATAGGTACTGTGTTTTCTCCCAAGCTTGCTTCTAAGGTCTCAGAATGGGTGGGGGCATCTCATACTTTGTACTTTGTATCCCCAAGACAAAGATAAAAGAACAAAAGAGTAATTTCCCTGATATCTATAAGGAAAGAGAAGGGGAATCTGGTTTGCTGGAGAACAGAAGCATTAAAATTTACACAGGTTGTCGTCAGATGTGCCAGGAGCTACATCAGCTGTGTCCCATACCTTGCCCCACAGGCCTTCTCTCTCTCTACTAAAGGGTGGAACCTAGGGCCTTCACACTGAGTTACATCTCAGCCTGTTTGTTTGTTTCTTTATTTAGAGATAAGTTCTTACTAAATTGCCCAGGCTGAGCTCCATCTTGCAATCCTCCTGCCTTAGGCTCTCAGGGTGCTAGGATTACAAGCATGTGCTACCATATCTGCCTTTTTGTCTCTTTAGATTCCCTGGCAACCACATTTTCTTTAAAGAGCTGCCACCAAATACCCCGTTTCTTACAGTTCCTCACCTCCAAGATGGTTATACAGCAGAAATCTTTATTGCTCTCGTCTCTTTCCCAAAACACAACCTACTCAACAAGCCTCCCCCCCCCAAAAAAAACCCCAAACAATACCAGCATATAGGCCTTTTCCTGTTTATATTGCTCTGGAGAAATGGTAGTAGGAGGTCAAGAATATTTAATGTGGGGACATTCCAAAGGTTCCTGAACCCCAGAACATTAAAATAGTCAATGCTCCTGATCTATATAGAGTTCCTGACTTCTTTTTGTAGATAACTAGAAGATTGTAACAAGTCTCCCCTTTTCCCTCAACCTCTGCCCATCTGCAAATCATACAGATCCCTCTGTTGGTCATGTCCTTTTGCACATTGGTGGTAGATGGTTTTTTTGCACACTGAGGGGTGGTCTCTTTTTTTCCCTAAAGTTTCAATAGAATAAAGTGAACCCTGAAGATTTTCCATCCACTGAATCAAGCTGGGGAGAGCAGGATAATCCTAGGACAATTGTATCTATTGTAATTTGGGTCTAGATTACCTGGAAAACTCAATGAAAGCTATAGCATTTCACCTCAGGAAATTCTCAGACCCACACAATTATGCATTTAATTCTGGGGTTTTATGGAGACCAAGTTGAAAACCTCAGGTTTATAGCAGCATCATAATTTGGAAAATTCCTAACAAATAGGCCCCTTTTACTTTCTCTCTATCCCCACAGCTCCTGCCTGAAGAGTCACTAAGTCTTTTTTTCCAAGAATGTCATAAACAAGCCACACAGGGCTTCAAGCTTTACATGCCACAGGGTCGGTACTGGAGGCTTCATCTCTGTCCTGGTAACTTTTCATCCTAAATTCTCCTTCCAGGGTTCCCAAGGGGTAATTGTGTCCCAGTCCTTCCCAGATCCACACCTCTGCCTCCATTCTTGTCTTCACCTTCTGTGTTCTCCCCTCCTGAGATCCTAGCCTCTTCTCCCAAATACTCCATTTAGGGATCCATTGGATCTCCACAGCCTCATATTCTGTCCTTTCTTTTTTTTTCTTTGGTACTGGGGATCGAACTCAGGACCTTGCTCTTGCAAGGCAGGCAGTGGAACCACTGAGCTAAATCCCCAGCCCTATTCTGTCCTTGTTTTTTCTCACTCCAGGACTTCCCCGAGTTCCTAGTGAGTATGCTGGGTTGGTGGTTCGAACCGTACTGGAGCCTGTGTTGAAAGGAGTACAGGGATTGCCACCTCAAGCCCAGGCCCTCGGCCTCAGTCAGGCGCTGACAGCCATCCTGGGTGCCTGGCTGGACCACATCCTTACCCATGGGATCCGGTTCAGGTGGGAAGAAAAGCCAGCAGTTGCAGGGGAATGAATGGACCTGGGGAAAAGGAGGGGGATAGGCGGGATGGAGCAGTTTGGAGAGGCTGGAGGAATTTGCTGGCCACATTGTACCTGAACATTTAGCCTGCAGGGGGCGCTGCAGCTCAGACAAGACTTCGGAGTGGTCAGGGAGTTGCTGGAAGAAGAGCAGTGGGATCTGTCACCAGAGCTTCGCCATACTCTGCTCATGCTCAGCATTTTCCAGCAGCTAGATGGGGCCTTGCTGTGTCTATTGCAGCAGCCCCTGCCTAAGACTCGAGTCCACAGGAGGTCTCCTTGTTGCTGTGAGTCATTTTCTTTCCCCAAATCCCCCTCCCCCCACGTACTTCCCAATTGCTTTAAGTGACCAACACCCTACTTACCTTTGATCTGGTTTTAGCATCTCACTACCAGCCACTTGCTTTCCACTCCTGTCTTACTAGGTGTTTGTAATGAAGTCCAGACCACAGGATTGGCCAGCAGCAGCCTCAACAGCCTGGAGAACTTGGAGCCCCCTCTACTGCCTGGAGTACCCCCATCCCAGACAATGCCCTTGCAAAGCACCCCGGGAAGTGGAAGACCTAGCCTTGAGGCTTATCTAGTAGAAAATCAGCAGGCCTGGCTTGCCCTTAGGCAGCACCAGCACCCTCGTTGGCACCTGCCTTTTCTTTCCTGCCTGGGGATCAGTCCTGAATCCTAAGGAGCCGAGGACCAGGAGCTCCTCATCTCTGATCGGAAAACCGTGGACATGCAATTTCAAGAAGCCTAGACCTGAGCTTAGAAGAAGTATAAACTTGGGCTGGGGATTTAGCTCAGTGGTTCCAGCACCTGCAGTGAAAGGTCCCGAGTTCGATCCCCAGTACAAAAAAAAGAGAAAGAAATTATAAACTACATAGAACCTGGAATTACAAGCTAAGAATCCAAGGTCACTGTAGTGCCTGTAATCCACAGTAAAGAGCAAAATCACTGCTTGCAGCCTGAAGGTTAGCATCCTTGGGGCGCCTAGTTCCTCCTTCTGAAGAGATCTCAGGAGAAAGGGAAAAATAATAGAAAACAAGCTAGATGGTGCTTCCTTGTAAATCCCAGGAGCCGGGCTAAAAAGGGTTAATTCTTGGGGAGTTACAGAGTTGGAATAAGCACCTGGGTCAGTCCCCAGGGGTGTGTTGTCCTGTATTCCCTCCCCATTACTATTTTCAGTCATTTAAAAATATTGGGTTGTAGGACCTCCAGTTTAAGCTTTGGTTATTCGGTTACCTAAATGGAATTTACCTCCTGGCAGGCAGATAATCACTGGTATGGTAGTGTCCTCTCTGTGGAAGGAGCAAGGATTTCAGTTGGCGTTAACATAGATCTGGACCGCAAGATGCGGAAAGGGAAAGGCTGCAGCTGCAGAAGACAGGTGTTTTCGATGCAAAGGTGTTTTGCACAATATTGTTTTCACTGTAGTACAAGTGGGCTTAACTACAGCTCACCGTTTTGGATCCTGTCACGTGCTGTAACGAAATCACCTCTCCCAGTCTTCCTCCTCCCGGCCTGGGGACCCGGGAGCGGTTTGTAGACAGGCGGCCTGGAGTTTACCCGGAAGAAACAGGGCGGCGGGGTCAATTTTCTGCAGCGGTATCCTGGGAACACGCCTCCCGCTGGAGTCCTTCCGGGGCGGAGGTTACCATGGCGGCGGCCATGGCTCGGCTTGGTCTGCGGTCGGTCAAGGAAGTTCGGGTTCAATTCTGCCCTTTCGAGAAGAACGTGGAGTCGATAAGGTACCGGAGAGGTGAAGGGAGAGGATGGGGAAGGGCTCCGCCTTCCAACCCCTTCAGTAAATCGCTCACACGGTTTTCCCCGGTAGGGCTTTCCTCCAGGCGGTGAGCAGCGAGAAGGTTCGCTCCACCAATCTCAAGTGCGCGGTGATTGCGGACGTGAGGCACGACGGCTCGGAGCCCTGCGTGGACGTGCTGTTTGGTGGGCTTGAGTAGGGAGACGGGCAGGAGGGGCGGCAGGCAGCCCCAGCCCTGCCATGCCTGCGTTGGCTGACTCTTCTGTTTCAATCTTCCCCAGGAGATGGTCATCGCCTGATTATGCGTAGCGCCCAACTCACCGCTCGGGAAATGTTCGTTGCCTTCGCTTCTCACGTCCAGGCCAGAAGCGCTGCAAGGAACGGGGAGAAGCCAGGCGCTGGTACTGGGCACTGACAGCGAGGAAGAGACCAACGAACAGATTTTGGCCTAGGACTAGGACATTTATCTGAGAAGACATTGACTTAATCATTCAAGGGTCTACTGAAGGGCCACTGAGGCGAGGGGAGCGTCATAACTTCTGGGGCAAGATGGGGTGAGAGGGCTCTGGACAAACTTTGAGGGTTTTTTTTTTCACTTCTTACCATCACTTACTGCTTAACCGTTTTGAATTTGGCTTTTTCCATCATTCAGCATACATTTTAATCCTTTTTTTTTTTTTTTTTTACCAAACTAGTGATTTTTTCAGTCCTTATCTTCCTTAGTAACTTCTCCCACTCTTAATTCACCCCCTGGTGGAAGCTTTCTTCCTCTTGGATATTTTTCTTTTTCTAACTATAAAGGCATGTTACCCTCATCCTTTTTTTTTTTCTTTATCCCTGGGACATCCAATCTTCTGTGTTACAGACTTTTCATTTCTGTTTGGTTCTTTCCAACTTCTATGCTATGGTAAGTTTACCCACTACCAACTTTCTCCACATGCCACCAACATGCTTTGTGTAAAACAATTGATAATCATACCTACACATATGTTTACCTCTCCCACCTGGCTTCCCCATACATTTTGTTTTTGTTTTTGTTTTTTTCGGTACTGGGGATTGAACTTGGAACCTTGGGCTTTCGAGGCAGGCAGTGGAACCACTAAGCTAAATCCCTGCCCCCCATACATTTTTTAAACATTAATTTTATTGGTATATTTTAGGTATACAATATAATGACATCATCATTGGAGATTTGTACCTTTATTCCCCATACTTTTTTTTTTTTGGTACCAGAGATCGAACTCAGGACCTTGCACTTTTGAGGCAGGCGTCAGAACCACTGAGCTAAATCCCCAGCCTTCCCATACCATACCTTTTTTTTTTGGTACCGGGGATCAAACTCAGGACCTTGCGCTTTCAAGGCAGGCACCGGAACCACAGAGCTAAATCCCCAACCCTTCTCCCATACCTTTTTAAATGGCATTTCATCTGTTCAGTCACCTGGACTGGAAGACACAGGTTTATCCTTTGTTCTGCCCTCTCTTTCCCTGCATATTTCATCTATGAGTTCAGAATATTCTGTAATTTTTAAAATCTCTTGGGACCGGGGATTTAGCTCAGTGGTGCCGACACCTGCCTTGAAAGTGCAAGGTCCCCGGAGTTCAATCCCCCATACCATAAAAAAATAAAATAAAATCTCTTAACAGTCACTTCATTCCCATTCATTCTCTTGTATCACTATTGCATTCTCTTGTCTCCTTTTTTGTAATCATTTTTGCTACTTAATTTTATCTTTCCAAAGCACATGACTGTGGTTACCTCAAACCAATAGCTGTTTGACAAAACAGTGCCTGAAGTGGTTTTTCACATTGGGTTAACACCGATTAGTGTGAATCATGAAATGAATTTAGGGAATTAAATCAACTTTTAAAAAATAAAATGGTAAGGGCCAGGGATTTAGCTCAGTGGTTTCACCGCCTGCTGTGCAAGCTCAAGGACCCAAGTTCGATCCCCGGTACCAAAAAAATAAAAAATAAAATGGTAAAAAGTTTCAGAGTGCATATCACTTGAATTGAGAAGTATTCTTTCTGGAAACTATATAATTGTGTGTGTCTGTGTGTGTTTGCATGTATTCGATTATTTCTTACTGTGGATTATAGCAAAAACAACAAAAAAGCTGAAACCCCCTGCTTTAAAGAACTTCAGAATGCCCAGCTAGGTGAGCAAAGAGCTTTTAGACACTGGCTGCTCCTGATTTTGCCAAATACATTTGCCATGACCCTCCAATACCATCAAATCTTCCCCACCAAAAAGAGGGTTCGAAGCATGTCTCCCTGTACTCCATCTACCTTTAAAAAAGAAAACTACTTGGAGGCAGTATAGTCCAGTAACCAGCCAGAGTGCCTAGGGTTGAAGTTGCAGCTCTGCCCTTAAGTAACTGTGTGACTTTGGACAAATTAATCTATCAGTGCCTGGTTCCTCATTTGGAAGTAAGGATAATAGTACAGTTGGCCCTTTATCCATGAGTTCTGTATCCTTGGATTTAACCATCCTCAGATTGAAAATATTCAAGAAAAAAATTGCATCTGTACTGAATATACACAGCCTTTTTTCTTTATCATTTTCCGCTAAACAATACAGTATAAGATTTACATAGCATTTACATGGAATTAGGTATGAGTAATTTAAACTATGTAGGAGGATATATGTAGGTTATATGCAAATACAATGGTTTTTATATAAAGGATTGGAGCAAGGGCCCTTTAAGGGATTTTCAGGGGTTCTGGAACCAATCTTTCATGGATTCTGAGCAATAACTACCTACTTTATAAGAATGAGAGGATTAAATGAGTTAACTATAAAGTTCCTACAATTGTGCTAGAAGTAAAGTGCTATTTAAAGAACTTTATTCTAAAGTGAAAAGAACCCTGACAACCTGCATTTGGCTCCTTGGCTGTTACTTTGTACCATTATTACTTTGTTTTTTTCCAGGGTTTTGAGACGGTGTTGCTATGTAGTTCAGGCTGGCTGGCCTCAAACTCGCAGCAGTCTGTCTCAGTCTCCCTAGTGTTGGGATTACAGGTGTGTGCCACCATGCCTAGCCCCTTGCACCATTCTTAGTCGCTGAAATGTAAAAATGAGAATGGTTCAACGTGGATTGAATGTTGGTAACATGTTTATAGATTATGATCTTGGGGGAAGTTTTTTTTTTTTTTGGTACCGGGGATCGAACTCGGGTCCTTGCGCTTGCGAGGCAGGCGGCAGAACCACTGAGCTAAATCCCTAGCCCTGTTTTGTTTTGTTTTTGAGGCAGGGCCTCTCTGTGTACTCCAGGCTGGCCTTGATCTCTTGGTGATCCTCCTGTCTCAGCCTCTGGAGTGCTGGTATCATGGGTGCGCACCACCATGCCCTAGATTGTAAACTTGAAGTTGGTGATTTTCTGTGTCTCCAGCATCTTGCATAGTGTGATACAGGTGTGCAATAAACGTGAATTTTCAGATACTGCACATCAGCTTTCCTGCTTATAACTGTGATTAGTCTGGGATACAAAGGGAATAACTCAAACATAGGTATATAGTAAGTACTACAATAGACGTGGACTAAGTACAATAGTAACAAGAAAGTAACAAAGCGGGCTGAGCACTGGGTTTGGTCAGGTGATTGTTCAATGAGTAAGAAGTGTATATGTGCTGCCCTCAGTGAGTAAAACTAAATGTGTGAGAAGTGTATGTGTGCTCCCCAGTGAGTACCAGTGTGGAGTAGGTCAGAAGACAGATTATATGGTGAAATATAAGTGGGTATGTTACAATAAAACATTGTTATTAATGATGAAAAAATAATTAAGATGTACTACTCTATATACATGTACCAACTCCCTGCAAGGAATGTAACCATTATGGGTTTGTTTGTTTTTTTTCTGGGGGTGGGGTTGAGTCAGGGTCTCACTATATAGTTCAGGGTGGCCTTGAACTGTGTGCCACCACACTAGCTAACTTTTGATTTTAATAAAAAATTAAAATTGGAGAAAAATGTAAAAACTAAGTCATTTGTATTTAAATTTGAATACTGCATCCCAATATCTGATTTGCATAACAATATATTTTTTAAAAGCTTAAAATAGTGTAGGTAGAATGATGCTAGCTAGAGGGGCATAGGATATAGAATAGCTTGAGCTGGGTGTAGTGGTGCACACTTGCAGTCCCAGCACTCCGGAGGCTGAGGCTGGAGGATCGCCTCAAATTCGAGGCCAGCCAGGGCTACACAGAGAGACCCTGTATCAAAAAAACAAAAACAAAAATGGCTGAAGCTGTAGCTAAGTGGTGGAGCTTACTGCCCTGTGTGAGGCACGGCGCTCAGTCCGCAGTGTGTGTGTACAGAATAAAATTTTTGTTTAGCATGGGATGGACTTTATGAAAATACTTTTTTTCCTCCTCAGTACTGGGGATGAAACCAAGGCTTGTGCACTGAGCTACATCCCCAGCCCTTTTTTGGCTACTTATTTATTTTGGGGTACCAAGGATCAAACTCAGGACCTTGCGCTTGTGAGGCAGGGAGCAGAATCACTGAGCTAAATCCCTGGCCCCTTGGCTTTTTATTTTGAGACAGGGTCTTGCTAAGTTGACCAGGCTGGGCTTAAATTTAGTCCTGATTCAGCCTCCCAAAGTACTGGTGAAAACAAATTTTATGTTGCACTGTAGGTGAGAAAGTAACTAGGATCTAAACTATACTTCTGAACTACTATCAAAGGCAATGTTGAAGCTTATAGATCACCTGAGGCACATATGCTACCTCTCTCTACATCTTCGTTGACCTAAGCCATCATTTGCCTAAGCTCTTGCTTCTTGGGACTGTAGAGGGTTAAACACCTATTAAGTACAAGCACCATCATTATGGGCCAAAGGCTTGTCCAACTTGCGGCCTGTGGGCCACTTGTTTTGTTTTATTTTGTTGAGACAGGGTCTCACTATACAGTTTAGGCTAGCTTTGAACTCACTATGATAGCCCAGGCTGGCCTCGAACTCGTGGCGATCCTCCGCTCCTGGACTTAATTGCCCTTTTTTATTTTTTTATTTAAAAAAAAAATTTCGGTACTGGGGATCAAACTCAGGACCTTATGCTTGTGAGGCAGGTGCGGTGCCACTGAGCCAAATCCCCTGCTGCCCTTTTTAAACGTTATAATAAAATATAGTAAAAGGGAAGTTTTGTGGCTTAGATACATTATATGTTTCATATGTGGCCCAAAGACAATTCTTGTTCACTCATTATAGCCCAGGCAAGCCAAAGAGTTGGGCATTCGCTAAAGAATTGTAGGCTGAAGAGCTGGGGTTGTAGCTGGGTGGAACAGTGCTTGTCTAGTATGCACCAGGCCCCGGATTGCAGTACCACATTAAAAAAGACTGAGCTGTTCCACCGCCTGCCTCGCAAGCGGTCCTGAGTTTCATCCCCGGTACCAAAAAGAAAAAAAAAAAAGACTGGGCCTAGTGGCGTATGCCTGTTAACATCAGCACTGGGGAGGCTGAGACAGGAGGTTCACTAGGAGTTAATGGCCAGCCTGAACTATGTAGTCAAAAAACAACAAAAAAAAGAGTACGCTGAGCGGAGATAAGACTTGCCTTAAGTCATAGCATAGTTTAAAGACAGCTAAAACCCAGACCCAGTCCCACTCTTGGAGCCTCTCACCACTCCGCGAGGAAAAACGTGGAACGTGGGCAAAGCGATCCAGCTTGGTTCAGAAACACCAGCGTTTGAAGTTAGTCACTTCCCAGCCATTGGCCTGGGAGCTGTTACTTGTAAATATACTTTCTAGGCCACGGTTTTCCACTACCTGATTAAGGCGGGCATGGAGCCTCCTGTTAGCATATTATCGTTATTTTAAGGGCCGGGGATTTAGCTCAGTGGTTCCACCGCCTGCCTCACAAGCGCGAAGGACCCGAGTTCAATCCCCAGTACCAAAAAAAAAACAAAAACACCCCACTATATCGTTATTTTAAAAAAGAAACTCAAGGGCTGGGGATTTAGCTCAATGGTTTCGCCGCCTCACAAGCGCAAGTACCCGAGTTCGATCCCTGGTATCAAAAATAAATAAAATTTAAAAAGAAACTCGAAATGAATTGGTTCTCTCTAGTAGCCTATGAATTGTATGAGAACGCCCAAGAAGCGCAGAGCCAGGCAGTGGACTCGGCCCGGGGCCCACGAGCTGACCCTATCTAAGCCCGCTGGAGACAGCGGTTCCGCTCTGGGGACTTGACCTGACGTAGTGGGGCGGGACTTCCGGAGGGAGGCGTTCGCGGGGCTGGAGGCGCGGGCGCCCAGGCACTGCTGACAGTTCGGTGGTCACTGCGGCGCCGGCGCCGGCGCGAGCTGGAGAGAGGAGACAGGACCAGGGCTTCACTGCCGCCTCTATTCTCCCGCGAGGCTGACCCCGGTGCCAGGATGGCTCGAGGCGAGCGACGGCGACGTGCTGTGCCGGGAGACGGAGCGCGGACAATGGAGAGGGCGGCTCAGGGCGGCCCAGGGCGACGCGACGGCCGAGGCGGCGGGGCCCGTGGTGCGGCCGGGGGAGCGGCTCTGACCGTCGTGGTGTTGTCTCTGGCTCTGGGCCTAACGGGGCGCTGGGCGCTGGCGTGGTACCGTGCTCGGCGAGCGGTCACCCTGCATTCCGCGCCCCCAGCACTACCCCCTGACTCCTCTAGCGCCGGGGTAGCCCCTGACCTCTTCTGGGGCACCTACCGCCCTCACGTCTACTTCGGCATGAAGACTCGCAGCCCGAAGCCCCTCCTCACCGGTAACCGGGCCCCAGGGCGGGCAAGCAGGTGGACTCTGAGCCTGGGCAGCCCGGCTTCCCGCCTGAGCAAGAGTAGGGAGGAGTGGATCAGGAGGCTTACGGAGAGGGAGGAGCTGGAAGTTCTTGGAGGCCCGAGGGACAGGTCCCCTGCTCTCTTTGACTTATGTGGCCATTCTACCCCCAGGACTGATGTGGGCGCAGCAGGGGGCCACCCCAGGGACCCCTAAGCTCAGGCACACGTGTGAGCAGGGGGACGGCGTGGGTCCCTTTGGCTGGGAGTTCCACGACGGCCTCTCCTTCGGGCGGCAACACATCCAGGATGGGGCCTTAAGGCTCACCACTGAGTTCGTCAAGAGGCCTGGGGGTCAGCACGGAGGGGACTGGAGCTGGAGAGTGACTGTAGAGTCTCAGGTCAGGGCCTCAGGATACCCCTTCCTCAGCCCAGACTCCCTGCGTCCCTCCCTTGCTGCCAGCAAATGGATAATGAAGTGGGGGTTAACATCAGGGGAAACCGAGTCTGACTGCCTGGTTTGAATCCTGCCTTAAACACTTGTCTGTATCACCAACTGTTTACCACCTCTCAGCCTTGATTTCCTTGTTTGTAAAGTGAAGATAATAGTAGCACCTAACTCACAGGAACATGAGAATTAAATGAAGTAATCTGTGTAGAGTTCTTAGCGTAGGAGATAGCACAAAAATACGCTATGATTTCTCGGAGAACTTTGTGCAAGCCTCTTTAGCTCATTCCATTGAGTGTATCTGCTCACTCTCAGTGACACTTAGCACTGCCAGATGTATTTTGTTTACCAATTTATTCCTTCCTGGGATCCCTTTCCCTCACTAAGGCTGATTCTCAAAAAGAGAATGCCAACTAATGCTGTTTTTTTCTCTTGTTTTCCTCTGTTGTCCTTTGTCTCCTAGGCCTCAAGTACTTCTGCCCTCCCTTTAGTCTCCCTGTTCTTCTATGTGGTGACAGATGGCCAGGAAGTCTTACTACCAGAAGTTGGAAGCAAGGGGCAGTTGAAATTCATCAGTGGGCACACCAGTGAACTTGGTGACTTCCGCTTTATACTTTTGCCACCAACCAGCCCAGGGAACACTGCCCAGAAGTATGGCAGGTAAGTTGGGAAGGAGGGTGAGCTGGTGAAAGGAATGGTGTGGTCCCTCACACTGCCTTTCCATTTATTTCCAGTCTCACTAGTCTCCTGGTTCCCTGAATTGCTAAGACCTCCATCCTGATTCCCTGAGCACGTTGTATTTCCCTTTATAATCCCCCCCAACCCTGAACATTTCCTGTTTGTCTTTTTGCCTTCAAGCTACAATATCTTCTGGTCCTCCAACCCTGGACTGGCTCTACTGACAGAGATGGTGAAGAGCCGCCTAAATAGCTGGTTTCAGCATCGTCCCCCAGGGGCCTCTCCTGAACGCTACCTCGGCTTACCAAGATCTCTGAAGTGGGAGGACAGAGGCCCAAGTGGGCAAGGGCAATTCTTGATACAGCAGGTGACATTGAAGGTCCCCTTTTCTGTGGAGTTGGTGTTTGAATCTGGCAGTGCCTGGGCAGGCGGAAACCAAGCCCTTGGGCAGCTGGCAGGCGGCCTACTGACCCAGGCCCTGGAAAGCCATGCTGCAGCCTTTCGAGAGCGCTTTGAGAAGACCTTCCGGCTAAAGGAGAAGGGCCTGAGCCCTGGAGAGCAGGCTTTGGGTCAGGTTGCCCTAAGCGGCCTCCTGGGTGGGATTGGCTACTTCTATGGTCAGGGTTTGGTATTGGCAGATATGGGGGTAGAAGGGTCTGAGCAGAAGATTGATCCAGCCCTCTTTCCACCTGTCCCCCTTTTCTCAGGGGTGCCCTCCAGATCATTCTTCCCACGAGGCTTCCTTTGGGATGAGGGCTTTCACCAGCTAGTGGTCCAGCGGTGGGAACCCCGCCTCACCCGGGAGGTCCTAGGCCACTGGCTGGGGCTACTCAATGCTGATGGCTGGATTGGACGGGAACAAATACTGGGGGATGAGGCCCAAGCCCGGGTACCCCCAGAATTTTTGGTGCAAAGGGTAGCGCATGCCAACCCCCCAAGCCTGCTCTTGCCTGTAGCCCACATGCTAGAAGGTGGTGACCCTGCTGACTTGGCCTTCCTCCGCAGGGCATTTCCCCGCTTGCATGCCTGGTTCTCTTGGCTCCATCAGAGCCAGGCAGGGCCAGTGCCATTATCTTACCGCTGGCGGGGCCGGGATGTAGCCCTGGCCACCCTGCTGAACCCCAAGACTCTCCCCTCAGGGTTAGATGACTACCCCCGGGCTTCACACCCTTCGGCAACTGAGCGGCACTTGGACCTTCGATGCTGGGTGGCACTGGGTGCCCGTGTATTATCGAGGCTTGCAAAGCAGCTTGGGGAGGTGGACGCAGCTGCTGAGCTGGGCCCACTGGCTGCTTCACTGGAGGCAGAGGAGAGCCTGGATGAGCTGCACTGGGCTCCAGAGCTAGGAGTCTTTGCAGATTTCGGGAACCACACAAAAGCAGTACAGCTGAAACCTAGGCCTCCTCAGGGGCTAGTTCGTGTAGTGGGCCAGCCCCCACCTCACTTACAATATGTGGATGCCTTGGGTTATGTCACTCTTTTTCCCTTGCTGCTACGGCTGCTGGACCCCAACTCACCCCACCTTGGACCCCTGCTGGATGTTCTTGCAGATAGCCGACATCTCTGGAGCCCCTTTGGTTTGCGCTCCCTTGCTGCCTCCAGCCCTTTTTATGGCCAGCACAATTCTGAACATGATCCTCCCTATTGGCGGGGTGCTGTGTGGCTCAATGTCAACTACCTGGCCTTGGGAGCACTCCACTACTATGGGCATCTAGAGGGTCCCCACCAGGCCCAGGCTGCAAAGCTGCACAGTGAGCTCCGTGCCAATGTGGTAGGCAATGTGTGGCGGCAGTACCAGGCTACAGGGTTCCTATGGGAACAGTACAGTGACCGGGATGGCCGGGGCATGGGCTGCCGCCCTTTCCATGGCTGGACCAGCCTTGTCTTACTGGTCATGGCTGAAGACTACTGAAGGGGATGATGAGAAGAAAGCCAGGCCACTCATATCACTGAATCCAGAGGGAAAAGGTCTCTGGCTTCTGCCCCCAGCTCTTCAGATCCCAGTAATTCAAACCTTCCTCAGCTCATCTCAGGTGTCTCCTTACTATCATCCCACACAGCCCTGGGGTGAATGTGAATTCAAGAGTCTATTTTTCTAAATAAACTGGGAAAAAACACACCAAACTCTATTGCTTTTGCTAGTTTTGCCTCACCAAGAGGTCTTAACTCAGTCTTGGCTTTAGGGCTTCTTGCTATCTTCAGGGAAGGTGAGATGAATAGCCATTATCTGTCCCTTTCAGACCCAGTCAGGCTAAGTGCAATGTAGTTAGCTGAGTTCTAGTCCACCCAAATCCACAGCAGCTGGTTCACATCTCTTTAATGAGATCAAGGCTCTTGTGTATGTTTTGGGGGTCGTTAAAGCTAGCACAGTCCCCCAGTACCACCCCTGTCCTCCAGGTTCCAGCCCTTGCAGGCAAATTCTAGAGGGTAAGGAGAGGCTAAGGGGGCTTGAGGTGGGACCAGGGCAGGTGACCCACCCACCCTCCCATAACCACTTATGGGATGTCCCCTTCACTGGAAGCCAGGCCCACAGGAGAGACCCGGGGAATGGGCTCTGGAGGCAGTGCACAAGGGGAGTGGTCCTCCAGCTCCAGTGGGGTAGCACTAATTCTCACTTCCTTGACTGGCTCACCCTTGCTGGAGTCAGGACAAGGACAGAGCTCAATACCTGAGTCACCAGTCAGGCGACGATAGCGACAAGAGGGAGGTGTATGGGCTGGGCTCATCCTTGCCCTGGGCTCACCCTCTTGACAAGGGGGGGCACTCTGGTGGGAAGAAACACCTTCCACATTTGTCCCCTCACAGTGGCCAGGGCAGCTGGATGCAGAGGAACAACAGGTACATTCACTGGAAGCAGTCAAGTGGTGGCCTGGGGCCATAGTATATGGAGGTGGTGGTGTGCCTGGGCGTTGAACCACATCCTCATAGGCTGGGGGTTTGAAGGTGCTGAGAAGGCCTGCAGGGAAGAGAACAGCATGGGTGGCTGAAGGCAATCAGGGATGGGGGCATGATCTCATACTAAGGAAAAGGGTGCTTTGAAATGTCTGCAAAAGGGAATATGGGATGATTCAAGGCACTGGTTTGGGAAAGGCCACTGGTAGTGGCCCCAGAGCCTCAAGTCACTCACGAAGGTCAAGCAGTGAACCAGTTGGGGCAGGGCCAGTCCCATGGCATGCCCCATGGTAGGCCAACAAGTTGATCTCACGCTGCCTCTGCTGTTGTTGCAGCCGGAGTTTAGCTCGCCGGTGGCGGAAGGCGCAACAGCAACTAAAGAGGATGAGGACAGTCCAGAGCAGCCAGAACCCTGCAGGAGGCAAGAGGAAGTGTCTCAGATACCTCCCATGCAGAGAAAGGTCCTTGCAGTTCCAAAGGAAGGTGGGCCGAAGGACCTGAGAACAGCCCTCCTGGAGACTCACACCAGAGCTCATAGTAGTAGGTGCAGCAGCCAGTCTCCCCGCAGCAGTGACCACTTTCACAGAGGTAGGGCTGGTTGTTCACTCCTGGGCACAGCTCTCGAAGCTGGGGGCAAGGAGGCACTTAGAATTCAGGGACCTTCTAGCCCCAGCACTGTCCGCCCCCACCTCCTGCATGCATATACAATCCCATCCCTTAGAAAGATGAAAGGAGTGGGAGATGCTGAGAGGAGTACTCAAATATCTGAAGGGCTGTCAATGTGAAAGAAGATTTGGAACAGCAAGAAATCAGTCTGGAAAACAGGCAGAGCTCTGCATTTCTGAGACATCTCTCACAATGCTGGCCCCCTAGGGTTCTCTCTTTTTTTTTTGGTACCAGGGATCGAACTCGGGTCCTTGCACCTCAGGCGGCGAAACCACTGAGCTAAATCCCCGGCCTCAAGGGTTCTTTCTCTTAAGGGAATGTTTTGGCAAAGGCTCAAGACAGTCTGAGCTATCTCAAAGTGTCAGACAATGGGTTGGGACTTAAGGCCATTTCCAAAGCTAATGGGCTTTCAGCAACCCCTACCATCTGCTACCCCCACCCACAAGCTGGGTCTTTTCACCTCTGGGTCTCAGGCTCCCTAGGGTAGAGGAGGGGCAGTGTGAGACCCAGAGCAGTGATCTCAACCAGATTGCTGTGAATGATAAAGGATGGCATGCTGGGCGTGAGTCTGGTTTCCAGCTCTTCTCCAAATTGCTCTCTCAAGAGAAGACGCTGCTGGACTCTGTTGTGATAATAGGCACATAGAAAAACATCGCAAATAACTGCTGCAAGACAGAGGGAGCTTTCCTGGGGCCTCACTACGCCTCTGGTTACTGGACAGCCAATGCAAGCTTCCACTGCAGCCACGGGATGGGGTCTGGGGCTGCAGGTAAAGTCAACTGCGTCTGTTACAAAGTTTAGCCAAAGAGAGGAAGGAACATATTTAGGAACTTCACGGTACCTTTGGCTCCGTAAGTTCCTCTCTCAACCTCCCCATTCCCCCCAACAGGAAGGGACAGGAGAGGGAAAAGAGAAATAAATGGCTGTCGTGATAGGCTTTTGGAGCTGTTGGGATACCTGCTGTTGTGGCGCCCGAAGTGGCCCCCAGGCCTCCTCGCTGCCGTTCCCGCTGCTGGCCCGAGCCATGCCTCCACCTACAGCCCCCTGAAGACCACAGCCTCCTCTACTGCCAGCTGCCCCGCCCCTGCCACCTTTGCCGCCACCGCCATGGTCCCTGCCTGGCCCATTCTCACTGCAGCCACCATCACTCCGAGGCCGGCGCTTCCACCCAGGAGAGCTCCTCCAACTAGAACCCAGGTTGCTCTGTCCGACCAATCAGCATCACCCTTTGATAAACAGACCAATAGGAGCCCACCAGAGGTTTCTTTCTGTGACCAATACCCAGCAGCGCCTCCGATGCTCACCCAGACAACAAGAAGTAGTACAGACAAAGACTGGGGAAAGGTTGGCCCGGGCTGTGACTGACAGCAACAATAGCCAATATATACAACAGAACAGGTTTTGACTTATCAACCAATGAATAGCCGTCCAGGAGAGCAAACTCCTGATGATTGGCTTGAGCCATTGGGAAGATGCCGAACCATGGCAGGTAATCCGGATGAAGAGGCTAGGTTCCGAAAGTTGGCCCAAGTCCGGGTCACAGACCCGCTGAGCTTCTAGAGGTCCTTTTCAAGCTTCAGGCAGGGCAAGACATGCGTAACTAAAGATTCATCTGCCCATATCCCAGTCCCCAAATTCTGTACAAGCTGAGGCACTGGATGAAGTTTAATAGGGGAGGGAAGACACTGAAAAGTGAGCATGAGAGAACACAAGAGTCCAGGTTTAATAAGGGGCTTAAATTGCTAAAAGAGGGGATCCAGGGCCCTCAGGGCCCCCCAGCCGCATCTGCAGGTTGATGCGGTAGCACTGAAGGCTGCAGAGTGCCTGGCCGGTGCGGGAGCAGGCGTAGCGGCGCGGGTGGGGGCACCCAGGGACAGAGCAGCGCGGGGGAGGACCTAATGGGGCTGGCCGCTGAGACACTGCTGCGGGGGCGGGGACGCCGGGTGGGAAAGAAAGAGTGGAACCTTGTGCCCCGCTGCAGTAGCGCACCATGGGGGTTGGAGCCGCGGCCCGCCCTCCCCTCCGTTCGCCCCGCGCAGCTCCCCGGCCTCCGCGCCCACTGGGCGCAGCAGTCTTGGTAAGGCGCTCGATAGTTTGGTTCTTGTGTTCTTCTGCCCGCCTCGCTGCCTGCAGCCGCCGCTTCCGCGCCCGCTCCTCGCGCTTTAGCAGCATCTCCTCCGTGAGGGCTGGGGCTGGGCAGCCCGCAGGGACAGGGAGAGGCAGCATGGGGGAAGGCTGACTCCGTGTCTTCTGGAGCAGGGCTCGCTGAGGAGAGAAGTGGGGGGGTCAGACAACAGAGAATGACAGAGAATAGGTCTGCCAGGTCGAGGGAGGTGAAAAGAGGGGCCAGGGAAGGTGGGTTCTACAGAATACAGCCCTGGGAGAGGGGGAGTGAGGAGCATCCCGTTGTGGGACCCTAAATACTGCTTCCTCTCAGGTCTCTTGATGTTCAGCTTTAGGTCCTTGACTCTCAAAGAGAAAAGCACCAGTAAGGTTACCTGCCTGCCCTGTGTACCAAAACTCTTTTGTACTATCTTCCAGAGGTTTGTTTTTAATCTTTTTATCTCAATAGATGGCATCAATGGAATAATTTTTCAAGCCAAAATTTTAGGGTTACCCTTGATTCCTTCTTTCTCCAGCCCCTTCCTAACAAATATCTCCAGAATATATCCAGTATTCATCTGATTTTCTCCATTGTCATTATATTCCTCTTGGTACAAGTTACCATCTTCTCTCAACTGAATACACTTACTTCAACAGCTTCCTAGTGGGTCTCCCTACTTCTAATCCTTACCCCTACTAAGACTTGTTCTCCACATAGAAGCCAAAGGAATCCACTGACATGCAAATTTAAAAATATGTCTGTACACAACCCATCACTGGCTTAGACATAATTTTCCTTCTCTTTTATCTTGCTTGGCACGGTTCCATTCTCAGGGTCATTGTGCCTGCTTTGTACCTGCTGCCTTTGCTATTGGAAATGTTATCTCTTCAAAGAGGCCTTCCCTGACTACCCTACCTAATGTCTTTTCTCCCACTATTTCATCACCCTATTTTATTTTTTTCATAAACTGTACAGCTTTTTGAAATTATTTATTTATTTACCCCTTATACCAAACACACACACACACTAGGATACTAGTTCCAAGAGAACAGAAATTTTTGCCTTTTCTCCCCCATTGATATCCCTACTGCCTAGTAAAGTGCTCGGGACATGGCAAGTTCTTAATATATATTTGGTGGGTGAATAAAGAATGAATCAACTTACCTGTCGAGCAGTGAGTAGCCGCTCATTGATCTCCTTCTTGAGGTCTCCATTGTCATCTAGCTCCCCTTTCTCCAGCGCATCTAGCCATCTCTGTTCCTCCTCTTCCTCCTGGTCCCCCATCCCCCCTGACAGGTCCCGAAGTGGGGAGGGGGACAGATTACTGTCTTCATCTGGATAGGAAAGTTGAAGAGAAAAAAGTAAAATTGTTCAGATGGGGGAATCCTAATTTGGCTTAATAATATTGGGATAGTCAAAATTCCCATCCACTCAGAACTAAGCCCTTCCCTTAGACAGGTATAATGAGAAACCCAGTTTCCCCACCTCCAGATCCTTCTCACCCAGCCAGGCCCGGTACTGCTCCAGGGGAACTCCTTCCATAGGTTCCTCTTCATTATCCACAACCATCAGGGGAGAGGGTGAGCGAGGGCCCTCAGGAATCACAGTGAAGGTAGGGACACTGAAGAGAAGCAATACTACTCTGTAAAGTGAGAAGTGACTCCTCCTGCTGAGTAGCTATATACAGCTTTCCCGAACCTCTTGAGTTCTTGCTGCCTTAACTGGGCCCTGAAGTCAATGTCTATTCTCTGGCTGCTAGAAAGCCCTGCCAGCTTCTAACTTCTGTCTGCACCTGCTCCTTAAGTTCCCCAAGTAAAACTTTGATCCTTTGGCCTCACCTTTTGGTGCCTAGGACCTGCCCACCCAGCTTGATTTTGAGTTTGAGCTGGGGCTTGGCAGGAGACGGCTGTGTTGGCCCGGTCTCCTCTTCCTGATGGTGTTTCTTCTTGTGTTTCTTTTTATGCTTCTTGTGCTTTTTCTTGTGCACTCCGTGGCCGTGGGCACCGGCCAGGCTCAACTCCAGTGCTTCCCCTGCGGAAAGAGAGCCTGTCAACGTTATCCCGCTGAACTGTGGCAGGGCAAGTCGGAGGGGTCCCATTCTTCCAACCACACTCCTTGTTACCATAACAACAGCACCGCCTTTCCCCTTCCCACCAGTGGCAAAGCTCTGAGGAAGCTCTTGGAAGCCCTGAGGGGAGAAAAGAGGCCCCTTTTCCGAGAGGGCCTAAGTTTGATTGACCCGCGCGTACCCGGTTCGGGGGTCTCCATAGCCCCAGAGGTGCTCCCGCGCCGCCACAGCTTACTCATGGGGTCCTGCAAGGAAAGAGGACTAGAAATGGTCGGGACGCAGGCAGACATGCCGTTTCCGCCCCGCGGAAAAATTAACTCCAACAAAATAATCAGCTACTTCCGCTGTGGCAACCATGCTTGTGCGGGGCATGCTTTGCAGGCAATGTCCTCCCTGAGAAACACCGATTCTTTCAACAAAAGTTCCGGACCCACAAAACAAGGCCGAACCAACCAAGGGGTGCGGCCTTCCCTTAGCTCGGCTTCCCCGCTCTGGATTTCGGAATTCCAGAAGGGCTGGTCTTATATTACACTTATAACTCCGCCCACGTGAGTGGGTGAGGTCTAGAAATTACAAAGTTGTTACCTGTGCTTTTTTTTTTTTGGTTACCGGGAATCAAACTCGGACATTGTGCTTGCCAGGGGACACGGCACCACTGAGCTAAAAAGTTGGATATGAACACTGCTTCTGCTCCAGAGGAGCTCACGGTTTGATGGAGAAGTACATAAACTATTGCCACAAAATGGCAGAAATGCTTAATAGCATAAATGCCTAAGAGCAAGATAAGTGGTACTAAAGCCTAAATTTTTACCGTTAGGGAAGTGGACAAGTGAATTGCGGTGCAGCTAAATAATCTGGGAACGCCATATAGCTAGGAAAAGTTGAGTGATGATAAGACTGACACCCAATTTAGAGTCTGATAAGTAGTAATACTGTATTGGAAAGAATCTAAGTCTCCCCCTGATGGGACATGAAAACAAGTTTGGTATGTCCCTACAATGGGAAGTTATGGAGCTGTTCAAAGAAATAAGGCTGGGTGTGGTGGCTCAAGCCTGTAATCCCAGCATTTGAGAGGCTCTGGCAAAGGAATCACAGCAAGTTCAAGGGAAACCTGGGCTACATAGTTCAAAGCCAGCCTGAACTACATAGCGAGTCTGTCTCAAATGAAACAAAGCAAAAAAGAAGTGAGGCTACAGAAAGTGACCCAAGACACCAGTGAGGGCATTGCTGATGGGTGTTTGAGAATCAAGGGTGGAAGGAGACATTTTTCATACCTAATACAGTGGACTCTTGATTTAAGAACTCTATCGGTTCCCAAGGGCTAGTTGTAATTTAAATTGGTTGTAAGTCAATACAGCTGAGATCTGGGTGTTTATCTGGGTACACGATATAGATAAGAGGCAGATGAATTTTCCATTAACCTAATTAATCGGAGTTGTTCGTATATCAAGCCAGTTGTAACTTCAGGGTCCACTGAATATCCTTTTGTGCCTATTGAATTTTGTATAACACGTGCTTTTTTTTTTTTCTTTTAAAATCATATGTATAATGGGCCAGGGATTTAGCTCAGTGGTTTCGCCACCTGCTGGGCAAGCGCAAGGAACCGAGTTTGATCCCCGGTACAAAAAAGAAAAAATTGTATATTTTACCCAATTAAAAAAAAATACCAGCAGGCTGGGGTTGTAGCTTAGTGGCACTGTGCCTGCATGATAAGCACAAGGTCCTGAGTTCCATTCTTGGTACCGAAAAAAAAATAAAATAAAATTCCTTTAAAAATACCACCAATCGCGATAGATCCATATGCACTTATAAGCAAGAAAAGCAAATTTTAAAATATGATTTTATTTTGTTCAAGGCATAACATGCCAGGATATACATAGAAAAAAAATGAGGAATGCATGTATACTGTTTGTGTTGATTATGTTTAGGAGTTGGGATTGGGGAACTTCCACTATTTATAACAAACTTTCTTTTTTTTTTTTTTTTTTTTTGGTACTGGGGATTGAA